CCTTAGGCTGGGGAGAAGCTCAAATTCCCAGCAGTAGAGAGAGCCCCGAGGGCAGCGTGGAAGGTGAGGGCACAGGGTTTCTATTTTGTAGTGCAAAGAAATGTTGTGGGACGTGAGTAAATTCCTTTGAACCATTTTTTTAAAGACACACATTACAACCTCAGTGTTTCTCTCTCGCTCTCTCTCTGCAGGAGTAATGATTCTAAAATATTAATAGCACTTGTGCCAAAATGTCTCCCATCTGAATTCCAGGTATACCTAGAATTCGATCTCCTGGGTATTTGCTCCTGAAAGCCTGCAGATCCCAGGAGAAGCTGGAGGCTCGCAAACGGGGCATTGACTGTATCGCCCACAGCCTGGGGCCGAGAGGAAAGGGTAGAACATTGGCAGGAAGGTCCCATGAGGAGAGTCTGCGCGGGAGGAATGTCATCACCACAGCGTGCTGACATGAGGGAATAACAGTTTGCTGTGTGATGACGCAAGGGCGATAGTTCAGTGTTCACCTAGGCCGGGGCTTCTCGAAGCCGAGTGACCGTGTCCCCGGGGGGATGTTAGGCGGCCCGGCAGCATGTTTGGCTGCCCCAGTTGTGTTCTTGCAACAGGTCTCGAGTGGGTAGAGGCCAGAACAACCGTTGGCAACAAGGAATTGTCCCGTGCCAAATGGCCAAAGTACCCAGGCGCTGAGGTGGGCACAGTCGGAGAAAAGACTGGGAAAATGGGCTTCAGAAGCTCTGTCCACAGAACACGCGAAGGGGGGGGAGTGTTTCTGGGAAATGTATTCGCCAGGTACCGGCTTTCCTGTCCTGAGGGCTCGGGAGGGCGCCGGACTGTACGCGGCCATCTCATTAGACCCCCCAAATACATCAGCAGAGCCTTCCTGTCCTTCCTGCGTTGAAAGGGAAAACCTGACACCCCGCCGGTCATTAGCAAGGATGGACAACTTCCTGCCTGTCGCCCAGCCCGGGCCAGGGGGACGGCGGGCGCGCGACTCGCCCGGGTGTCCTGACAGCGGCCCCCCTGCAGGGGGCGCCTCCTGCCCCCCGCGGCTGGCCGGGCCCCCGGGGACGTGTCTGACGGCATTGAGGGAACCGGTTTACTTTGCGTCTGCGCCGCTGTCCCGAGTGCGTGGGTTTCCGTCCAGCCGGAGCGGGCCCGGAGGGGCCCCCGACTTTAAGGGCACAAGCTCAGGAGAAGGCGCAGCCTCCGCGCGTCGCCACAACGCCCTCCGTGCCGGGGCTGCCCGCGTGCACATCGGTGTGCACACTTGTGCTCTCACCCCTTCCTCACCCAGCGTGCGTCTCTCGAACAGTCCCTCCGAGGGAGGCTGGACGGACTTGGCAATTTATTAAAAACACCTGTCGGGGCCTGGCAACGGAGCCCGGGACGGGCAGGCGGCCTGACGCGTTCTCTGCGGCCCAGCCGCCGCCTGATGAGAACTGGCTGTCCCGCGGGAGCAAGGGCTGGGCCCCGCGGGCCGTGGGCCCTGTGAACTCTGGGGTTGAGGGTTCACGCCCTGGCTCCTCGGCTGGCTCGCAGTCAATCATTCACAGGTTTCAAAACACACCCCCAACCGCAGCCGTCTCCATTTCAGGACGTCCCGAGCGCCAGGTCTGCGGAGCGGGAGGGAGCGAGAGGCTACCCGTAACCCAGGCGGCCCCGGCCCCGGCACCCCCCCGCCCCCCGTGGCCAGCCTCCCACCCCACCCCACCCCCACCCCCGGGGCCGGAGGTCAGGCGCCTTGATTGGGCTCCTTGTTCCACTGACACTGGACATTTATTCTTGTCTGTGTGTCTTTGCTGCTTCTGAACCTGGCCTCACTCACACGGACTCACCCCAAGGCCTGACACGGGGATTTAAACCAAGACTGTTCATCTCTGTCATCATCCGCTGTAGCTTGTTTATTGGGTGCTGACAATAGACTCCAAAAAGCAGAAAACCCCACCGAAAGGCTGCGCGGCCAAGTCCACTGGCCCACTGGGCCCATGTTTTCCAACTCCAGCCCTGTTGTCCTTAGTGGACCCTGTCTTAGCTCGCATGCTCGTTCTTTTGGGGGTGAAAGAAAATGGGAAGAGGAGGAAATTGTGCTTTATCTGCGGTGTGAATGGAGTGCTCCTTATTTGGAAGCCTGCTTTGCCTACTGTTCCTCAAACTGCTCCAGCTTTCTTTGGATTAGCGCGTCAGGCAGTAGCTGCTGCCCTCCTGTCACATTGCCCCCCTCGACGTCTTTATTAGCGGAAGTGATTTTCTTAGCGAGTGAACATGTCCGCTGTAGAGCGAGGGATGTGGAAGCTTGGCCCTGGAAGCTGTGTGCAGAGATGGATAGGAGAAGGTCAAGTAAAGAAATATTGCAAAGAGAAAATCAACAGGATTTGTTGATGAATTGATTGGACACGGCAGGTAAGGGAGACACCAAACACGAACCTTTGGTTTTTGATTCATGAGACTGGCTGGGCAGGGCAAGATCTGGGGAGAGACCACGAGTACGACCCTGGACATGTTGAAATGCAGTGGCCTTTAGGCGTTCAAAGAGATTACAAAGTAGGCGGGTCCGTCTGCTAGGCTGGACTTAGCAGAGGAATCGGATGTAGAGATTTAAATTTGGGAGGTATTTGCACAACATAGTGAAGGAGGTGATACTGTGGTTGGCATTGCCTCGGGCGCGATTAAAAAAGAACAGAAGTGGTCAACCTCTCGTACATGACAACATGTAGGCCATGGCGAAGTCGACCAACGTCTGCAGGAATATGCTTTGGGGGGACGCCATGGTGGACGCCAGGGAGGCTGCTCAGGGGCGCGAAGGTGCTGAATGTGTAATGGAGCTTAAGGAGGTGCAAGGGGAGGGGAGGAAGCAGAAGCAGAACGTCTGAATGGCCTTCTGAGAAGATTAACAGAAAAGAGGAGGCAAGAAAGGGCAGAAGCAGAAGGCAGGAGAGACAGGGCAAGGGGTGAGGTGAGCTTTATTATCTGAGATACTTGACTGACATTGAACAGGTTTTAATGACCGTAATCAAAAATTGAGCTTTGAGAATTGACTGTGCAAAAGAAACAGTGTTCATTAAATCATTTCTCTCTCCCCCTCCTAGTTGGTAATTGGTTTTTGGCCATGACATATTTGCTTGTTAATTGCTATACTTCCTACTTAATCATGCTTTTATAATTCTCTTAGGAGAACATGGCTGGAAAAGACCCAAAGGGGACCTGAATTCCTTTCCATAAATCGCCCACATTAAGACAGGGCCACTGCAAGAAAGGTTTCTCCAGATGTCCTTGACCCCGTTTTTATTTTACATTCTTGACTGTGCATCCCACACTGAAAATGATACTTGAGGGAAAAGGACTTTGCAAATTCCACATGTCTCCCTTCTTATGCTCACTTTACAATCTCTAGCTAACCTTCTCCAGCACATTTCACTTGTATGTTTTTAAAAATAATTATAAAAAAGAGGGGGTTGTGGACTATTACTCAGAGTCTATGAGACATGCCCTTCAAGTTGATTTAGAAAGGCGATTAATTAGAGCAGTGTCTGGTCAGTTTCAAAAGTTCAACTTAAACGTATTTCAAAACTCGTATCAAAGGGGATATATTTTACACACCTGCCACTTGTGAGAAGGGCTGCGTTAGGTCAAAATGATGAAGGAGGTAGAGCTAATCATTAGAATTGGCATATCCTACTCTGTGGAATGAAAGAAACTTCTAGTAGCCCTTGAGTGCTCCCATCTTAAGCACTCCATGACTAAATCTCCTTGGTTTCTGTGATTTCACACAGCTAATGTCATTCAAAGTTGGAAAGGACTTGAGAGCTCAGTGATGTCCAGAGTCCTGAGGGGACACGGCTGAATCCTCAGCAAGTGAGGGTAGTTGGAGAATGCCCCGGGGTGTCAGCCACCAGGCCAGCACTGTATCCACTGAGCAGGAAATTACAGTACCGAGCAAATTACAGTACAGGCTGACTGCAGCCCTTTCATATTTGTAAATAAAGTTTTATTGGCACACAGCCTCACCCACACACATCTCCTCCATGATTGCTTCCACCCCATAGCCACAGGGTGGCGCTAGCAGTTGCCTCAGAGGCCATTTGGCCTGCAAGCCCCCAAATAGTCACTTTTATAGAAAAGGTGTGTAGCCCTGTGACTATAGCCTTGCCTGTCAATCCTGGCTGCCTTAGAATCACTTCTCCAAAAAGTCTAGGATGCTGCGCCACCCTCTAGACCTTCTGATCCCCAATCTTTCAGGTTGATTTTCATGCTCAGACAAGTCAAGAATCACTGCATCACATCCCACTGCCTTTAAAGCCCGTTGCCTTGAAAACACATTTCAGGCTGTGTTTGCATTTCTGTATGGGCTGTGAGACTGGATAAAGCCCCCCTCCCTGGCGCGCCCCCTCCCCCCCCCAGCTGAGGACTTCACAGGCTTTCACTACTATCAGAATCCCCTGGAGGGCTTGTTTGAACTCTGCCAGGGGGGTCTGACCCCTGAGGTCCTGACAAGCAGGCCGGGCGTGGGGCTGGTGAGCTGGCATGTCTAACAAGTGCAGGTGGTGTTGACGTTGCCTCTCTGCGAGCTCACTAGGCGGGGCGCTGTCCTGCACGGAAAGGGCTTGTGTCTCCAACGAGAGAAAGTCAAGGCCTGGGAGTCATGGGATGGGCTTGGGGACAGATTTATGGTCCGACTGCTGGGATTGTTCCAGACCACACTGTAAAATCTCACCCTTCTGCTCACCCACCTGCGTCCCCCCCTCCTTGCACCCCATCTGTAAGACTCGTCACCAAGCCATTCTTGTTCCCCATCGCCACTCCTGTGCAGGCTTTCTTTGATGGTGTTTTTTAAATCCCCCGGGGAATATTTTGAGACCATAAAATTACTATGAGGAACGGGAGGGGCGGGAAGGTGGATGGGAGAGCATTTCGGGGATAAAGGGAAATTCTGTCGCATAATAGTCTGCAAAGCAAGCTCAACACACAGTCCTTGGAATCGTGGATGCAGAATCACAAAATGATGAAGAGGCAACAGAGACAGGCAGAGACCGAGGGTCTTGGAACCACAAAAAATGATTTTATTTAGAACCAGAAAGTAACAGCAATCGAGAGACTAGTCTGGGCCGAGGGCTGGGCAGTGTGACTCAAGTACCAGCAATTGAATTTGTTCAGGTGGAAGGAGAGGCAGAAAGAGAACCAACTTTTCATTTCCGACTAAGCCGATCACGCCCAAAGCTTCCTGACAATTACCAGTGGCTTCCCATTCACACAGGCTTGGATGCTTTTCAGACTTTTATAACAATGTTGCCAAGATTTCTAAAAGCGGAGATTTTGAATTGGTGTCCCCCCTTTTAAAATACCAGACATGAAATCAGCCACAAGAAAGTAAAAGCCATTTGTGAGAGCTTTGCTTTCAAAACAAAACAAAACAAAACACCAAAGAACAAGAGTTAGTTTCTTCACTGCGGCACTATTGATGTTTTGGGCCAGATTGTTCTTTGCTTGGGGGCGGGGCTGTGCTGTGAGCTGGAGGGTGCCAGCAGCACCCTCGGCCTCGACCCACTACATGCCAGCAGCGCACCCGCCCCCACAGTCGGGACAATCAAACATGACTCCAGAAGTTACCAAATCGCTCCCCGGTTGGAAGCCTGGTCTAAGAGACATCCTCCCGACCCCCACTGTTGTCTTGGCGCCCTTTCTGACAGAAGGGCAGACCAGCTAGTCGACTTCCCAACGCCAAAAGCACATGTATGTGAACATACATGCGCGCGCCTCTTCAGACATCACATCTGGGCCTGGAGGCGAAACAAAATGCCACACTCCCCGGAGGGCGCTGGTTGCGTTTCTCAGGAAGTTTATGGTCAGTCTCTCAGTATCGCAATCAAACGCCTGTTTGTCACTCAGGCCGCGCCTCATCTCCAGCCGAAACGATCATCAGTATTCGTGGTCAGTTTTGGAAGTCATTTTCTTTTAAAGCTGGAAAGAAAATCACCCGGGCCCACTCTCGTCTTAGTCCATTTGGATTCCTACTTGCATGACGTGGCCACACTGGATCCGGGTTTCCTCATCTGTGTCCCCTGGCACGAGAGGTGCCGTGTTTGTGAGTCCTTTTAGGAGGACTGGTCACACAATTGGCGCGGCCCAGTGCAGAACGAAAATGCAGGCCCCTCGTTCCAAAGCGATTAAGAATTTCAAGATGGCGACAGCAGAGCATCCACGTGAGTGGGGGGGGCCCTCGGAGCCCCGGGGCCCCGGCACAGGGCACACACCCACGACGTCGCGCCTGCGGCCTGGCTGGCGCTGCATCCGTGCTGTTGGCTTCATCTCCTCGACACTGCCATCTCTTTCTTCCCCGAATCACAGTGTTTCCATGAAGTAAGGACCTCGAAAACAAAAGACTGTGACCCCCATCGTGGAAAGAATGGTACGGCAGCAACTGTTTACAGCATGTATTTCTCAAACTTTCAAAACAAATCCACACAGAAATCGTCTCCACATCATCACAGCAAGAAAGTGAACACGGCGGCCCCTCCCCACACACGCGCGTGCCCGCAAACAGGACGACATGGAATTAGTAACGCCACGCCACGATCCACACTATTTTTAAGTTATTAACAAAGAGTAAGAGTGAGTCTTCCACAACAAAATTATAACATAACAGTCCCTCTTGTCCTTAGAAAAAGAGCCCAAACATAACCGAAATGGCTTGCAGTGAGAACCGGACCAGTCACTTCTTTATACTGAAAAACTATTTACGGAAATAGCGTCATCATAAATGCGCTCATTAACGTCATAAGGCAAACTGTAGCATTTATTGGTACCTGGAGACTGTGATTTGAAAACTCAGGAGCTGAGTTTTAGATCCTATTTAAAACCTGTTAGTGTACAAAGTGCATTAAAATATCTGTTATCCAGCTACCAAAACCATCTGTAAAAATTACTGAGACACCCTTGCAGTTTATCCAAGGCAGGCAAGATGCACATTGTTTCCATAGTGTTAAAAAAAATCCCATCACGTTTCCAGAGAATGATTCCTTTTTTTCCCATTGAGGTGTCCATCTTTTCCATGTGAAACTGTCCTAAGTAGCTATCAAAATATTCATCTGGGTATAAATAATATAGTAAATATATAGAATCTATCTGTTAAGAAAAAGCAGAGCACCTGCTGTGAAGAGGATGGAGCCGCCCATGAAGTCCAGACTCGCCCTCACTCGGGTTGAGGCTGAAACCAGGGGTCGGCGGGCGGGTTTCGGGGAGACGGCTGATTTGGTTAAAAACGAAACAACTAGAAAGATGCTGGAGTCCAGCGGTCCATAGCCCCGATCCTGCTTGAGCCAATGAGACAGTGACAGCCGCCACGCCTCCCGTCCAGGTGGAACCGAGGCCAGATTCCAGGCCAGGCCCAGTAGAGAAAGCCTCTGTCCAGGCACCACCCAACGCACAGGGTCATTGGGCCGCGGATCCCACCAGACACTCCATGGGCAGGTTCTAGTAGCAGGTTCCAGTGTAGGAAGAAGAAGCTTGATTTTTTTTTTTTTGTCTTACAACTCTATGATAGACTATACTAGAATAAAAGGGACTTCTACGTCTTTCAAGATGTGCTTAATAAAGGTCTGTGTATGACTTTCGAGGCATGAACATGAGTGGGTAGTACTCAGGCAACGTCCCTTCATTACCGACTCATAAATATTAAATAGTGTGGGGTGAATTACATTTGGATGTGGTGTTTGTGGTCGGGCCACGTGCTGATATCCTGGGGCGCAGAATCAATTAAAGTGGTGCTGCCCGTAGTGACAGAAAACACTTACTTCCTCATCTCCAGAGACACAAGAAAAGTGATTCGGGGGAGGGGCACTAGGGCAACTAGCAAATGCAATGAAGAAATTTCACAGGCCTAAAGAAACTATTAAAAGGGAGAACGAAATAGACTTCGTTTGGGGGCAGAACCCTACCTCTGGGAAAACGCAAATCAGTCTGAATTTTTGAAGAATCAGTAGGATCCGGTGACCATTTCAATTGCAATCTCCTTCTTCCTGTTCTCGCGCTATCCTTAATCCTGGGAAAAGCAGGGCAAAAGATGGCCGGAGGCCTCAGACCTTTCTCTCCTGCGGCACCCACAGTCGGCAGGGCGGCCCGAGACTCAGCCGTGGCCGGCTGCAAGCGCCGGAGTCCATTCTTTCCATTTTTCTCTCTTGCTTTCCATCCTGGGTGACCCAATACACGTTTCTGACATCACAGTTAAAATACTTCAGAGTAGGAGAGCCTGTTTGCCTCCCCAGGAGGGTGGAAGCTAGTTTTCATTTTAAAAATAGTTGCGAATGCTGCTGTGCGTGGCCGAGGCAGCAGGGCCCGCGGAGGGCTCGGGGTGGAACAGCACGAAGTGAGAAGGTGGAACAGCCTGAAGTGAGAAGGTGGACAGGCGGAAGAAAACCACGAGAGAGTCGTCTTCTCGCCCGTAGACTGTGATGAAATAAAGGCTGCAGAGGGCTGGGAAGTTCGCGGGCCTCTAGAGGTGCAAAAGCAAAGAATTCCCAAGACTGAGGATGCTGGTTATGTTTCTTTTATAAATAATCTATAACTTTTCCTGTAAATACAAACAAATTTAAAGAAATGATTAAAGCCTGCACTTCATACAAAACACAGGTGGGGGGATGGCCAGATCTGAGTCCTATCTTAGCCTATTTCTGGACACTTTTTGGCGAGATTTCATCACACTCTGGAAGCTTGTGCTTTCTTTGTTCCCCAAATGGTGGCCACAACCTCCTCTATTCCCCAGAAAGCAGCGCCCCTGGGCCGGGCGCTCAGGGCAGCTGCTCCGTGCAGTCCAGGTGGTCCGGGATCGGAAGGCCAGTTATAATGGTCAGACATTTGTTCCACACGGTGAAGGTGGGGCACACGGGCTGCGAGAAGGCAATGTCGAAGGTGTAGAGGTGGATGGAGTTTAAAGCGTCGTAGAAGGCGATGGAGCCGTTATCATAGTCCAGCAGGATGCCGACACGCCGGAGGTGCGGGGCCGGCTCGATGGGGATCTCCTTGCTGTTGTGTCTCACCACCCAGTTATTGTGGCAGCGGCAGAGCGCCCAGGAAGCAGAGTTCTTCCCGATCCACTCATGCTTCGGGGCGGATTTGTAGGCCAGGCCGATGGCATACCTGCAGGGAGAGAGCAGCAGCAACACCTATGAGCCACGTGGCCCTTGGGGTCATGGAAATTGGTCCTCTGGGATCCCTGCTCACTGCCCTTAAGTGGGACCTCGGCAAGGACCCCCACACCTTCCAAACTCAGAGCCCGGGCACGGCCCCGCTGCTTTACCGCATTGCTGGTTGCAGTTCACATTTTACAAGAGAATTTGAACTCTGAGTTTTGTTGCCTTTTTTTCCTTTACCTCCACGAAGATCTACATAATGAATTCTCTAGACCTCTAGACCAGTCATCCAACAGAACTTTCTGCAATGGTTGAAATGTTCCACTCTGTTCAATACGGTAGCCACGAGCCACATGTGGCCACTGGGCCCTTGAGCTGTGACTGGTGGGACGGAGGAATGTGGCTACCATATTGGACAGCACAACCCCAGATTTTTCTTTTCGACCTTCTTCGAAAATTTTCAGTGGACTCTATGTCAGTTTCACGACTTGGCATGCACTTTGCAAAAAACAAGGGTGGAGGTAAATTCATGGGGGTAAATTGCTTGTCATCGCCCAGCCTGAATTTCCTCAGGGATAACAACAGTGTCCATCTCTAAGGGTTGTTTGAGCAGTAAAACATGTAAAATTTGGGGCACAAGGCCTGGATAGGATATTCAGGAGCTTTTATTTTAATATTTCTGCCTGATGACACATTCTAGTAAGTACCAAGGTCAGAATTTGAATCTAGGATGACTCAGAGGCCACGATCTTAAACGACACTCTCTAAAGCCATCTTTCCTCCCAACAAATCATAGACTTTATCAGGGCTAAGAGCCTGCCTGATTCTATTTCCCACCTCATTTTTAAGAAAAATTCTGAATCCTTTGTGCAGACGGAGATCTTAGTTATTCTAAATGTTCTCTCACCGATCAAAAATGAAATGTTATGAATTCTTTCTACAGTGTTCTAAGCTGCTTAATGTCTTTTTTCCCTGCTGAGGCATGCCTCTGTAATACTGGTAGCATTTCACAGTTACTAAGAGAAACAAGACCCATCACTCCTACTAAAGAGTGAATGACTCAGCGTTCAACTTTTAACACTGAGGAAAAACTTTATTGGTCTTTGATAAAATGAAAATAGTTTTTGAAAAATCAAGTGTTGGATTTAAAATCACTTTGAAAGTGATGTGTTCCAACAGTAAATGAGCCTGATGTGAATCGCTGAATTGAAGGAGGATGGAATCAATAACCCCTTAAACCCAGCGTTCGCCCGCCCTCTGGTCAGTCCTGCCCCGCGTTCCAGGAGCATGCTGGGTAGCATGTTCCAGTGCCCTTTCCAGGGGCAGTGGGGGCCAGGTTCTGCCACCATGACCCCCGGCACAAGAGTCCTAGTTCTACGTGGAGGAGTAGGCTCTTTTCTGGACAACAGGAAGCACAGGGGAGGTTCTGTGAGCTTCTGGGCCAGCTCCTGGCCTGCCTCCGGGCTGTGGCCTCTCGGGCACCCACAGGCCTTCGTGGCTCCCTGACTGGCAGTCACCCCCTCCCAGGGCTCCCTGGGAGCCTCTGCTTCCCTTCCTCTAGGTAGTACACCTAGAGTGGCTTCTGGGCCTCCGCCAAACCCTAACCGAGACTCTTTGGAAAGGTTTAGTTTTGCAGGTTTCGGTCAAGAGAAAGGCCTTCTCTTTGTCCCCTGGCAGACACCACTGCCATTTTTCAGAGAATTTGGAAGCAGCATTTGCATCACAAAATCGCCATATGTCTGCATTGTTTCCTTCTTGTGGCTGCACACCATCCTTCTTCTTTATTAAAGAACTTTGACATTTATTTCCCATCTGAACCTTAGCTGAACCCCCTCGGAAGTAGCTGCAGCAGGTACAACTGACTTCATTTAGTCATGGGGAAAACACAGAGAAGGTTAAAATTCGGGGCAAAATCCAGAATCTCGCCCCCTCCCCCTTGACTTCTGGCCTAGTAATCTTCGCGTGAACCCACGTTTCGTTAACACCATTTCATAAAACACCAAGTGCACATTAACAGCATTAAAGAGTAAGAAAATAAGTACGTGTCTAGTCCATTAAGCAAAGGAAAACACCATTATATTATCATTAATCTGGAAAAGTATGTACATATTTCCACTGAACTTGAAAGAGGTAATGTTCCATTAAGCGGCGCAGCGAGACTCGGAGAATTCAAACAGGGTAAAAATCATGTTTCTCAGAGCAATGTTAACATGCCCCATTGCACGGATCATAACATACATGTTAATTGAAAGTCAGGACTGTATTTCACCAGAAAATATATGTGTCCTGCGCTGCCACAAATCAACGTGTCGCCGGCATTTCATCGCAGGGTCACCTCCCAGCGCTGTTAACGACTTTCTACGTGAGATTTGTCCACAGTGGACAAAATCAGGTCTATAAAGAGCCGAAGCGTGGCAGTTAATTTGAGAACCTGCCCCCATCAGTGAGTCCTGACATCTGGAGGGCGCCGTGGAGGCGGTGCTGCTCCGTGTTGATGTAACTGACCGTGGTCTGCAGTTGCCCGCACTACTCATCTGTGGGAAGGAGTCACAGCGACTGGGTATCGTTTATCACGAGTGGTTAGCAGCAGGGTCGGCGCGGGGCTCCGCCCAGAGTATCGCTGCGTGTTCATCAACGAGCGATGTTTGCTCTTTTGCACCTGCGGAGACGCAGTGCTCTTTCTTTTGGGCTTTTGAACCAGTGCAGCTAAAAACTGAATTTGGGGGCTAAAAATGGGTTGAAGGGCCTCCCCGGTGGCGCAGTGGTTGAGCGCTGGGCTGCAAAGCTGCCCGCAGCCCCTGCAGCGCCTGTTCGATTCCTGGCCTCCGGGCAAGGGATCCCACATGGCGCGCAGACCTCTCCTGCCGCCCGCTGCCCCCCTCAGCAGTGTATTTGATAAGTCTGCCTGTTCTGCTCCCCGCTCTGGCTCTGGTGAATTCTCTCACCCTCCCACACTTCTGACTGTACCCAGTGCTTGTATAAATAAATAAATAAATAAATCTTTAACCAAAAAAAAAAAAAAAAAAGGTTGAAAATGCCAGTCTGACCCCAGGCCGAGTGGGCAGAAGGATGTGTCCTCCATCCTCTGGCTGCTGGAACAGAGCATACCCTGGGCAGCAAGGCTAACCACACACTGACTTGATGGGGGCATGTGGGTGCCCGTCCTGGGAGCAAGGGGAACCCCTGGCTTCTGATGTCGCTTCCTAGATTTCCACTGTCTAAAGACTCAGCCCCAATAAATGCATTGTGTACAGAGATTTGAAGTGAAAGGATTTATTTAAAACACATACGTGTAAGTAAGAAGACAAAAATACCACTGTCATCACACCCAGCACTTACAGGGTGCATAGTTTTGAGTCTTGGTTTTCTTTTTAAAGCCAGGAGTAAGCGATCCCTCATTAAACTGCTACTGTCAACCCTGAAGATAAATTCTAATCTTAGTTCTAGAAGAGGTAGTGTGGTGGTTAAGAACAGGCATCAACAACCACAACCCGGGGGGCAAACCCGGCCCGCTGCCTGTTCTTTTTTTTTTTAAGATTTATTTTTATTTATGTAAGAGCTGGGGTACAGGCCAGAGGCGCGAGAGGGTGAGAGGATTCACCAGAGACAGAGCGGGGAACAGAACAGGCAGATGGACAGAAGATACTGCTGAGGGGAGCAGCGGGCGAGACAGGAGAGGTCTGCCGTGCCACGTGGGAATCTCCCTGGCCGGTCAGAAACAGAACCAGTGCTGCGGAGGCTGCAGACACCTTCACAGCGCTGCGCTCAACCCGCTGCACCACCGGGGAGGCCCACTGCTGCTTGTTCTTATAAATGAACTTTTCTCTGGGCGCAGCAGCCCCATTGCTGGGCTTGTGGGCTGAGGCTGCTTTCCCAAGACAATAGTTACTGTGACAAAAATCATCCAGCGTGCAAATCCCACAACCTTGGCCCTCTGGCCCTTCACACATAGTGTCTGTGGACCCTGGTTAACAAGAACAAGTCTCCTCATTGCTGACTTCCTAACTCTGCCGCCTGTGTGCTCCGTGACCCTGGGCACGCGCCTCAGTCACCTCACCTATTAAATGGGTTGCTGGTACCTACCTCTTCAGGGTTCTGATGAGTATGTGAGTTACCATTTACAAAATGCTTGGGCCAGTGCCTGGAATACAGCTGTGCCCGATGAGGTTACAGAGAAGTAAAATGCTTCTTCCTTGACACTAGCAAGCAGGCACTGGTGAGACAGAGTGAAGGGTGCAGCGTGTGACTATGGAACAGGCAAGGTCAACTCTGTGCGGCCCACTTGGTAAGGTTAACTGATTCCAGTGTCCACTGCACCCTGACCTTTGCCCTTAGGCTTAGTCAACTCAGTGGGCTAAAGTGACTGTCCAGGACTAACAGACCTTTTGAAATGACTCCCAGCCTATGATCACTGTCTCCCCCACTCTCCAGCTCTCGGCTATTTTCAGTAATTGGCCCAGTCTGGATTCACAAAATGCACAAAGCAACAGAAAGGAGCGTCTGGTAATACCAAAGTGTAATGTTTTAGAGTAGGAATCGGTCCAGAGAGTTAATATTTTCGCACTCACGGACTATAGGATTCTGTTTTGACTCAACTCTGCTGCATGACTCCAAGGCAGCCACAGACAGCACGGAAAACAATGGGCGCGCCCTGTGTTCTCAGCAAGTTATATTTACAGCAGCAGGCAGGGGGCAGGTTTGACCCAAGGGCTGTTGCCCGCTGACACGTGTTTTAAAGCATGAAAGAGCCCGACCAGTTCAAAAAGGATGAAGAGACACACAGAACAGACCTGGCTCCAACCTACATCTTAAAGCGAAGCCCAGCTGAGATTGTTTGATCAGCGCACCCACCGATGCAGGTGTTAGTCATGATAAATGATTGCTCTTTGAAGCCAATGCTTTCGGGGTGGTTGTTACGCAGCACTACTGTAGCAGTAGTTGATTAATAAAACTTTTCTGCATATTATTTTCAAGATAGACCCTAGAACGGGCTGATGCTCTGACAAAGTACAGAGTGAGGTGTGCTGGTTTATGATAGATGATATATTACAGAACGGCCTACCATGTGCTTCCACTTATGACCACTTCCCAGTAGTGCCGGCCACTATCAATAAACACGTTTCCAGCTACTCCGTAGCTCCCTTGGCTGGTGAAGCGTTCAGGGGTGTGACTCTTCTTGGACGATGACTCATCACGCTCTACTGTCAAGTTATCATGGGACACTTTCAGCTTTCGATGTGCAGATTTGGGGTCCAGTTTAAATGGTTGGCCTGGAAACAAATTTACGAAACACAAAAAAGGAGAGGAACGAGTTTGTTAATTGTAACATGACCAATAACATATTTTCAGAATCAGAGTTAAAAAGCACAGTAATACAGTGTATGAACACGTCCTGGACGCGATAGGCTCCCCGCCTGTCCGTTCTAAGATAGGGGTCCAGAGGAGCTATGCTGATTATTCAATGATAGTATGGGCGAGGGTTAGCCGGATCATGTGGTTTAAGTTGCCCTCATGGATCCCGGCGGTGCACAAGTAGCACAGGTACATGCTGGCTGAAGAGCATCCCAAAAGGGAGGGGGAAATAAGGGCTTAATTGTCAACCATTTTCATGGTCAATCCAACTTCAAATGTGTTCATACTCAATAGATTTCAGACCAGAACGCAAACAAATCAAGCTCGTGGATTTTAATATACTCAAGAGTCTAAGGCTTACATTATTCTGATATTGTTCAAAAGTAAGCATACTCTCATGAGCGCAGTGTCCATAAAATTGTGTATTTTCAGCCCCCAAGATCGGGGGGCGGGGGGGAATGTGATCATAATGCCTGGATTTTCAACTCCCAGGCTTGTTTATATATGTAGAATAGGGTCCTCTCTTTCATTATTCACATGTGTATCTTGAAGATTTAACCGGCATAAAGTCTGGGCAGAGACACCTGAATGTCTTGTTGTGGCTGTGACGTCTTGAGGACTTGGTCTCGAGGACTGTCTATCACTCAGCACAGCATCGCACCCAGGGCATTTAGAGGCAGGCAATGAGTTGCCAGCTGACGCTAACACCGTGGTCTCCAAACTCCCCGGCCACTGGTGTGCTTCTGCCCACTATCCAGCTCCCAGACCATCACAGGAAAAAGCGGGTATGTTCCACTGTGGCAACGCACAACCTGGTTGAGAAGCCCACACAGCCAGCTCTGCTGTGGGTACTAAGTCACACGCACGCAGACCAAGGGATTGCCAGTAGTTGCCTCTTGGATACAAACATGACCCCAGCACCTCTGAAATCCTTTCTTTTAGATGACAGGCCGGCACGCCTTTCTGGCAAGGGGCCGGAGGGCAAATATTCTCAGCGAGGCTGGCCATGTGGTCCCTTCTGTGCCTGCTGAGCTGCTTTTGTCACTTGGAACCAGCCGCAGACAAGAGCTAAAGGAATAGGCGTGGCTCTGTGCCAATAAAACTTCATTTGCAAAAAATGGGCAGATGTAATTTGCTGTGGACAAATCTTACGTGGACAGGTTTCTGACCACATTCTGTCCACATCAAAGCAAAGCAGGGAACGGAAAAAATCCTCAAGTGCTGAGCAGGGAGTGACTTTTCTTTGAGACACTTGGATGATAAAGTGTAGTTTAATTTTGGCTTGTTATTTAAACCTCTGAGGTTGCAACACATATAAATTGCATTTTCCAAAGGAGATTTATAAGAATTAAACTATATTTAATGAGCAAGCATTCTTAAGACTTCTGCTGTATTGTTTCAAATGTAATAAACTTTACTTCTCTATAAATTTTGGCTTGTCTTGTAAAATAATGTCCTCAGGAATGATCATGCCAGCAACTGTGAGGGTTAGAGTGTGAACTAAGGTAAGAAGCATATAAAGTCAGTTTTGCTTATACTAGTTAAATTTTCAAAGGTGGGAGAGAGAATGTGTGTAAAAATAATTGCATACTAATGGGAAGATTAGGAAGAAATTCTATAAGGGCATCCAGTGTTGAAGCTGAAGGCTGGGCTCTGCTTGCTGTCCTTCCCATGAAGATGATCAGCTTATTAGAGCCCCCCCGAAAGCTTGGCCTTGTCACGGCGGGCTACATCCAGCTTGCCTCACTGCAGACTCTCACCCAAACATGCACAGAGTCAGCCCAAGCTCCTGCATCCTCAGTAAGCAAATCCACCAGTGCCCCAGAACCATTTCTCAAATAAATCACCACCCACTCTGTCCATGTCCAAGGCTTTTGCTTCAACAAGGACAAATTAGTTCAAGGGACACAAGTGTTGTTTGCAGAAGTAAATGGATTCACTGTAACATCTGTATGCGTGAGGGGTTGTCGAATTACAGCCTGCAAATCAACAGTCTATTGCCTGTCTGTTAATAAAGCTTTATTAAAACGCCATCACACCCACTAGTTTCTGTGTCATCTATGGCCGGCTGTGCGCTAAAGTGAGGGAGCTGAATAACTGTGACCTACACAGCCCCAAATATTTACTATTTGGCTCGTTACAGAAAAAGCTTGCCAACACTTGTATATAACTTGATAACATAAATATTCGTATTCCCACCAGGACCCCGCTGGGATTATTTGTTTTAAAAATGAAGTCTGAAATGCAGAGAGGTTAATGGCCTCATAGCCCCCAGGGGACCAAGTGAAATACACTGGATTTCACTTGGTCCCCTGGGGCCCAAGCTCTTGAATTGCTTTTTGAGGCCCTCAGCGAGGCTTGAGACAGAGGCAAGGAAGAGAAAAGGGCACGGGGCAGCGGGAAGGCCAGCAGACACCTACTGTTTGTCTTCAACTTCCCAGGCTCGCTGCTGCGGCTGCCCGCCTGGTTGATGGCCTTGACGATGAAGATGTACTTGGTGCCGCTCTGCAGACCGTGCACCGTGTAGTGGTTCTGCTTGATGTTGGGCACAATCATCCAGCTATCAGCCGAGTTGCACAGACCTGCAAAGCCAAGCAGAAGTGGTGCAGTTCTTTGGTATAAGCCAAAGCAACACGCGTCTAACGTGGGCTCGTTTGCACCGTGAGCGCCTGTCACTCCTGCGGGCGACCACCAGGAACCTTGCATACTCGGGGCTCGGGCGGCCTGCAGTAGGAGGCCAGCCTGTGTTTATTATTATTTATTCCAATTGTGTGCCTTGATGGAAAAACCACTTAAAATGATTGCACTGCAACTTCTGTTCAGGAATAAGAGCAGCCGAGGCCTTTCTCGCAGGGATCTTACCTACTGAAGACGTGTAGGGCGTGTGATAAGGTGCTGCGGGGCATGAAAAGGAAGGGGCAGGTAATGCCGATACCTCTGCCTCACCCCCGTCTGCACGGTGAGGGTCATGCACGTAGCATAGTATCTATTTTGAGACTCACAGAAGGTAAGAAGAGACCGGAGTCCTATGCAAGAGGTGGACTTCACTAATGTAGAAGGAATAGGTTCCATTTCTGCCTCAAACCCCTCGCCCTGCCCTAGATCCAGGCCTCAGTGACTTTGTAACTGTCCCCTCTAAAGAGGTGGGCAGAGTTCCTTGTCACCTGGCTCTGGGTGTGGCCACGGGACTTGCTTTGGCCAACAGGAAGAGCCACGGGACAACGAGCCAGATGCAAGAATGGGCGTGACAAGGTCTGAGAGTTTCTATGACCCTATGACCCTCTTGTGCCGCGGCTGTTGCCACGCCGAGAACATGCCACAGAGAGTTTGCTGGTCCTAAGAGGACAAGAGACATGGAATAGCTCTACTGCCCGGCCAAGGCCAAGGCCAAGGCCCAGCCGAGAGGAGCGGGAGGTCAGCAGAGGTCGGCGACTCCAACCAACTTCCAACAGGGGAGCTAAGAAAATGCTCCCAGGGGTGCCAGCCCACAGGTGACCCAGCACTCCCGTGCCTCAGTGGCCAGACTCAGAGCCGGTTCCTGAGAGAACCCGGGGCAGCAGCGCCTCCAGCCACATGGGCTCCATGTGGGGCTTGGGGAAGCATCCCCAGGGCGCTGAGCAGCTGCATCCCTGCACGGCTGGGTTCGGAGCAGAGTGGGCTGCTGCTCGGGCGGCCTTCTGCAGGATGTGGGTTAGGGGGCAGGCTGCGGATTTACGATGCTTGGAAGAACATGTAGGAAAAAGGAAGCCTGTTTTGCTCTGCAGCTGGCTGATGCTGAAAACATCTCCTTGGTACTGGGCCCAGCTCGCCTCTCTCCCCTCCGCAGCCATCAATCTCCACTCTCACGGAACCTTTTCCCAGCCCCTGGCGACGGTGCTGTCAGGGCATTTCCTGCCTCTGGTGAGTTTCCTTCACCGGTTCTTGGTAGAGGGCTGGGCCCCTGCACTTCCTGAGGGCTCCAGACTCATCTCCCCTCCTTTCCTCAGGGTGGATTTGCAAGTCAAAGGGTGAGTCCTTTTGATCTCCAGGAACATATGACCGAACCACACTCCCTAGAAGCAAGCCCTTCATCCCGTTTTGTTCTCACCTCTTCGAGAAGCAAATAAAACCTTTCCACAGAAAGAAACTCACATCGAAGACCCCCAGCAACCCACACATATTTGCATAGCATTTCAAGCTCTTCACACCACCAGATAAGTCTGGAATCCTACTAAATACTTTCTCCAACTTCGCGTCGCCTCGCTCCTGGTCTTCTTTCGGTCCAGAGGAACGGAATCGTGTCCTGTCGGTGGTAAACATTTCTCTCACTCGATTTGTATTTGGGACACCTAGTCGTTCCAGGCACACTTTCATTTCCTCCTGTGGACATTTTCACAGAGGACAAAGCCAGCACCAAGCAAGGAAACAAGGTGAGACTCGCGGAAGGTCTGAGTGTTTGAAGATGTCGGGGCTACCGGGGGGTGCCCCACCCCACCCTCTTTTCCGCATTCTTACTTGGATATGATCCAGGAAAACCTCCACAGTAACACGGGACTCCCCCACTGCATATTCCTTTTGGTATTTTCTCGCCTCACCTTTTCCTTGCACACAGCTGGAATCAATGCCATATTTCCGGACAGTGCCCGGCCACGTAGCAGGTTTTGATGCAACCCAAGAAGGGTCACTTTGAACTCTGAGCTCTGGACCCCAAGAAGCCTATAACTCACTCTAGATGTTTGATGATAGCATCGCAATAGTAATTACACAAGCACAGCTCCCTGTTCTGTTGCCTCGGGTAATCGCTCAAACTCAGCGAGGCGCACGGCCGCATCAGAGAGATCTATCAGAGCCGCTGCTTTACACTGTTCCTGCTTAATTGCATATGTTGCAATAAAACGACTACTGTGGTCAAAGAAAGCAAATGTAAAAATGTTTCAATAAACTTTACATCACTGTACAACCCCAAAGCAGGGTTTAATGTGGTGGGGGAATGCGCTCAGCGACATCACAGAGCAGATGTCTGAAATTGCTGCAAACTGCCACTTGGCCTACAACCCAGCCTTAACCCAACAAAAATGATTTAATGTTTCAGAAACCCTTTCCAACCAAAAAAGGGACTCTGACTACCCTGGTTATTTTGAAGAGGCCCCTCATGTTTTCCTTGAATATTAAAAGAACAAAAGTACTTGTGGGGTAGTGAAATGTGATCGGATGGCTTTACACTGGCACAAGCTACTTTCCTGAGTGCTAGCAACCATTTAGGCTCACATTTATGCTATTATTACTGCCAGGGTCATAATTGAGAAGCTGATTAAAAATGCCAAGAAAGCAACATCGACCGTTTTCTTTTGGGGGCTGGAGTAAGTGGGGTACCCCAGAGTACACCATTATTGCATTGCTAGTGTTGGTCGGGGGCCAGCGCCACTTAACTTTTTGCATATGGCGCCAAGCGCCAGACTCTGCCCTGAGACCCCACTGAGTCGGGACTGTTGACCAGGTTTTATTCATCTCTTTATGAAACACCCACATAACCATCCTGACCGAAACTTTACTTTTCTTCAAATTTGTTTTCAATCATCTTTGAGGGTGTTCCAATATTCACCTTTTCCAGCGCAGCTTGAAGTATTAAAACAACGATGGAACGTGGAAGATAATTGGCTCATAACAAAACTGAATTGAGGTTTTCAATTTTGTGCATTCCTTTCCTCCTTCCTAATGGCTCAGAAGCATGACGCTACATCACGCCGCTCATCACCAGATCCTAATGACATGTGGGCTGTGAGCCCTGCGTGGCAACGTCATCTTGCAGTAAAACATTACCCAACACGGATGCCCTTTGGAGACTCTGCACACGGACTTCCAGCATCTCTTGTATCTTTGAACAGATTGGACAGCAGTGAACATTCTTTTCGTTCTTTGCCATAAAAATAGTGTACGCTTAAGAACTTCCACGAATGTTTTTAAAATGACTAGAATAAATATAGAGAACTACTTCGCCATGAAGGCTTGAAGAAATGCATCTTTTGACTTTGGCTAATAAAAACAGGCTGCTGGGAAAAGGCCCCAATTTAAGATTTTAAATGATGTATTAAAAGTAGTTTTGGAAAAAAACATGGAAAGCATTGTAAGATTAAATACGTATCCACATATTAGGAAGCAATTCATTAACATCTGCAGTCATAAGCCTGCTGATAAAAATGAAAAATGAATTAGGTCATGAATTTTGCATTTCAATGTATGATTTTGATTAGTGAGAGCCATTTTATAAGATTCAAAAGCTCCCGAGGTCTTATCTAATTCTCCCTCACTAAAATCAGTTGAAAGCAACGAACTAGAATTTATTATGAAGAATGAAAGAATCGCAAGCTAGAGACTGTAAAAGATTTCCTAGTGGCACACAGAGCAAGAGCCAGCTTTTAAGCATTATGTGTTCTAATTTCCATTTTAGTTTTATCATTAGATCTTGTCATTCGCTATAACATCTGCAAAGAATGTTCTTCCAAATGATAGGAGAGGCGGACAAGCAACATTCAAGGAAGGCCTTTCACGCGATGAGTGTGTAAAATGCTACCATGTAGATGATCCTGGTAAATTGCACAATTGATCTGTATCACCTGACCAAAAAGATCAGCCTGTGAAAACGCAGTGATGTGCGACTATCATTTACCTTTTTGTAGGAATGATGTTTGTGTGTTACTGCTGTGGCAAGCACAGGTCTGAGGCCTTTAGTGTAATTATCTCAAGCATGTGAGGTTAAAACATTATCTCTTTGGGCCTCCCCGGTGGCGCAGCAGGTGGAGTGCAGTGCCGTGAAGCTGTCCGCAGCCTCTGCAGTGCGGGTTCGATCCCAGCTGGCCAGGGAGCTGACCTAGATGGCACGGCAGACCTCTCCTGTCTCACCTGCTGCTTCCCTCAGCAGTGTTTTCGGTCTGTCTGCCTGTTCTGCTCCCCACTCTGGTGAATTCTCTCACCCTCCTGTGTCTCTGGCCTACACCCCAGTTCTTGTATGCATAAATAAATAAAATAAAATCTTAAAAAAAAGAGAGAGAACTAGTCTTCATATGAGCCACCTGACGAGTGCACCCCAGGTGCTCTATTTCCATCTGTCCTGGGACAATGGGCCTTTCTGGCATCTATGCTTTGAAGAAGGCAGGTCTCTAATCTCCATGAAGCCATTTGCATTTATTTTCTTGTGGCAACTGGCTTCCGGAAACGCGCCTTCTCTGGAATTGCCCAGCAGAAAACTTTTAAGCCATTATGCTCAGCAACGTAGCCGTCATTGGTAGCCTTTTTCCTGAACCACGTGAAAATCATTTTAGAGAAATAGACCATTCCTCGCATGGGCCACGAACCATCCTCCAGTTATAAACAACTCTAAATGTTCTCTTTTTCTCTTTACACGTGGCGCCAAGAGACCCCATTTTGTTGGGATTGCTGACCGGGGTTTTTTAATGCATCTCTTAATGAAACACCCACATAACCAACCATACTCTTCACTTCTCAGGAGACATTCCTTCTATCAGTCCTCTGTGTGTTTTCAGAGAGCCTTCTCGAAGTGTTTTTTGAGTCTGCCACCATGCTGATCAATCCCAGTTCACCTTCTGTGGTGAATCGTGCCTCTGATGTCCACCTGCTCTCCTCACACTCCACGCTTTCCTTTGCTCTGACTGCCTGGGGGTTTCTGAACACCCATTCAATGTCACATTCTTCCAGCGAGTGTGTGATCCCATCTCTAGTTCGGTTTCCCCAACATGCAGTAACATTCAGCCCGTAATGCGAAGGAAGTGATTCCTTAAGTGAAGTCAGAATAAGTGGCTTTGTTGGGTTTTCCCTTCCCAGCTGTAGGCATCGCGGTGTGTCGGTTAGTTCGTTCAGTGAGTCTCAGGATCGATAATGCAAATAGGAGCCATGTAGATTTGTTTTGCGTTGAACTGGCATCGGGGGCAGTTTCAGCCTCTCAAGCAGCAGCAGCTGCTGGCCAGAAGGAGCTCCTGGAGGAGGCTGTTTGCTCTGTTTCCTCTAAAAGGGATACTTAGGTACGACCACTATTTGTTTAGATGCTACTTGTTAGCCTTGCTTTAAAGCCAGGCTCCTCCACCTCAGCGCTGCTAACGTTTTGGACTGGATCAGTCTTTACTGGGGGTGGGGTGGGGGTCGTCCTGTGATCTGGGCCACATTTCCCATCAGCCCTGGCCTGCCCGCTAGATCCCAGGAGCATCCCTTCCGTGTTTTGAGAGCCAAATATATCTCTAGACATTGCCAAATGTTCCCTGAGGGGGAAATTGCCCCTGGTTGAGAACCTGCTTCGAATGAAGTGACTAGTGTGATATTAGTGATCACAGAATAATCTATTTTTCAGGTTTATGGTGGAGTATAATCAAGGTTTGAAAATCTTACCAGGCTTTAGTTCATGTTAAATATATATATTTCTTAGATCAGTGAAATCTTAGCTCACACAGCTGGAAAAATGCATTTAATGTCACCTCTCTGAAGGGCAAAGTGGCAACGTCAACCAAAATTCAAATGCAAACAATCCTTGTCCCAGCAATTGCATCACAAGAGAACATTTTGCGGATACAATCCCCCTAAGTGGGAGGCAAGAATTCAAGGATACCCATGGAGGCATTGTCTGTAAGGACCAAGATTGGAAACAGTAAATACACATCAATAGCAGATGAGGTCAAGGAGTTGGGGGGCATCCTTACTGTGCCGCGAGCCTCCACGAGGAATGAAGCAGCTCTGTGCTGCAATAGAAGAGTCTTTCAGATACAAGACCTGGAGAAAACAGCAGGGTGGAGACCTATGTATGGTATATTATTTTTTGTGTCTCTGAAAAATCTGTGTGTGCATGAGTGTGTCTATAAATAGACTACAGGAGAGAGGCGGGAGGCATGGAACCAGGGTGGAGGCTCATTCCGGAGGCTGGCGGCGGGCACCCCGAAAACACCCAATTTTCGCTGCACACACTTTGTGCATTTTACGTATTGTTCCACAGTGTTCTTGCAAAACCAAACAGCAAGATGTTAGAGGATGGGTATTTCTTCATGATTTGCAGGGGGGCAAGAAGAACGAGGGATGGTGCATGATGCCAAATCCCACAGCTTGGAGGGAGAGGCGGGAGGCCTAGGCCTTGCCCTGCCAGCACTCTCAGACTTGCTCCCGAGAGCACTTCACATATCTAGGGACGGTAACGGTGTTTCCGGGGGGTGAACCAGAAGTAAAGAAGTCTTTGTGGAATTATCTTTCCTGCTGCTCGCACCCTTTGTAGGTCCTGGCTATTCTGCCTCTGTGGGCTACTAGAAAGTTCCTGGTTCACGGGTCTTCTAGTCGTGCCGCCCCTCGGCCCTCCCCAGTGCGGCCCGAGCCGGCATCCAAAGGAGCGTCTGGGACGCCGCGCTCTGCACGACCCTGGCCCGCAGGCCGCAGTCCAGACGCTGTGGCCCGGCGCCCTCAGGCGGCTAACTCCTGCTACATGACTCAGAACACTGCTTTCTGGAAGCAGCCCTACATGGGCCGGAGTCGGGTTCTCTTTCTCTATCTTCATTTCTCATTGTCTCCTCTTCTCACTCATCTCTCTAGCCACGTCGAATTAGCTGAGCTCTCCCAGCATGCCCTGCTTCTTAGCGCTCTACACGTTCCCGTGTGGAGACGCAGTTCTCTGGGCTACCCTTGCCAATAAGCACCTGCTCTTTCAAGACCTAGTTCCATCGTGTCCCCCAAAGCCTGCTGCCCCCTCCACTGCTGCCCTCTCTGTCTCCTATCCCCGCAGGCAGCCCAGGCTGCTCTCAGCATGTCATGGCTTACCCCTTCGCACTGCAAAGTGACACGTTCCCCGGGAATGGTAAGATTTTAACAGACGCTCTCAAGGGAGGCCGATCAGGGAGTGGGGTGAGAGGATGAGGAGGGGAAGCTGGCAGAGGGGCTACGAGGGGCCACTTGTGAGTGTGAGCCATGGACACCTGAGTACTTCCCAGGGGCCTTCCTGCATCACTCTTAACACCACATCGAATTTCTACTTTAAGCATCACATGCCTCAGAATTCCTTGCACTAGCAAAGAGCAGAGTAGTTCGGAGAGAAAAGGCTTATATAATAAAAGCACATTAAGTTGCTGTGGAGTTATCCAAAACATTTCTCTGTTCAAAAGCGGCTGCCATCCTGCTCCGTTCTACTGTGCCAGCTTCTATTTTCCTTTGTTAAGGAAGTCCCAAACTTACTCTCCCAAAAAGCCAATTTTTCTGGTCCTTTGCCATTTTACTCGACTGAACTGAAACAACTGTGGGGTCCTCTGGGAGCTCCTTCGGGCCAGCTGCTGGAGAAGTTCAAATTATCCCAGACGCCAAGTATCTCACAGGGCTCAGTAAGGGGGGGCCCCATCGCAGGGGGGCCTGCTTCAAGTCCAGTCTGAGATTCTCCCCAGTTGGGAGACAATCAATGCCCTTGCACGTCACAATGCTGCTGTCCTCCGAATTGGACCAGCAGTCGACGTTCTTTGGTTGTTCTACTGAGTCTGTTTCTTATTTAAAAATCATGAAATAGCCCCCAGAAAAGTAGTAAAACTGAATGTGTGACACAACGCCCAAGCCATGTCACTCCCGCCCGGAGAGTGCTGTTAACCCCGCGAACCCCCATGGTGCCACCCCGCTCCCCATGGTGCTGCTCCCCTCCCGTTCTGTAGGTCACCATCATCCTGCCTGTGAGTTAGGGTTTGTACACCTCTGCGCGGCTCCAAACAGAATGGCTCGTTTTTACCTTTAAGCCATGCACGTATCGATGCATGCGGAGCGCCCGTAGCCTTTCGGTTCCTTCTTTCTTGACAATATGCTTGTCAGGGGCCCCTGGAGGATGACTAGGGCTTGGGTGGCAGGTGTGGTGAGAGAACACCATACACGTGTGCGTGTAAACCTGTCCCCCGAGACATACACTGTGACGTACATCAACGTTGCCTCGATGACTATAACAACGACAACAGCAACAAAACAACATGCCCGTCAGGCTCCCCCGTGTGGTCTGGGTAAAGGTTATTCACTTTCACGACTAACTGGCTATTTGGCCCGTTATTTTTGCTAACAGGCGCAAGCAATTGCCAGCGTCTTCTTGGTTAGGAAGACAAATCAATAATAGCGGCTATTCATTCCTTGCGGTCTCCCCCTTGACGTTTACACCCAGAAATGCGACCCCCTGAGGCAGCCACCACAGACAGAGGCCCGGGCCGCGGTACTCACTGACGACGTTGGCCTGCCCGGTGAAGATGGTGTACTGCAGCTCGTAGGAGAGCACGCTGAACTCGTCGTCCGACGTCCAGTGGACGGTGATGGTGTCGTAGGAGGCCGTGCAGAGCTCCTCTCTGATCGTGGGCGGGTTGGGAGCTGTGGGGTTCAAGAAGCTCATTAGAGGAGGCGACACCTCCCTGCTTGTCGGGAAAGTGAGGAGGCTAAGCAGGCGCTACCCTCTCTCGCGTGGAGGAAAACAAGTCAGACAAAAAGTAAAGATTTTTTTGGTAAAGATGAACTTTTGAAGTTTCATCCTCATCAGGGGGATGGCAAACATTTTCGGGGAACGGGCTAGAAGGTAAGTGTTTCAGGCTCCGGGGACAGGCGGTCTCTTGCGTGTCCTCAGCTCTGCCTCTGCGCTCTGACAGCGGCTCTGGACACTTCGTCCTCACACGCTCATGGCCAGGTTCCAGCAAAACTCTTTATAAAAACAGGTGGAGGTCTAGGTTTGGCCTGTGCGCCAAAGTTGGCCAACCTCTGAGCTGCACGATGCCGCGTGTTTTTATACTTAGACACCTGACTGGAAAAATGCCGGTATTGTGAGCCCATCACAAACCAGCCAAGTACGGCTTGACAGTTTTCTTTCACTGCATATTTTGATGCCTGATTAAAAAAAAAAAAGGTTCAGTGTGGCCCTGCTTTCTTCTCGCTGTTCAATATGGAAGGGACACTTCTAAGCAGAACATGCTCACCCAGCAATCGCGGGTGAGAGGACATTCTCCTTCCCCGAGGAAAACACAGGATGCCTTTTGACATTTGCTTAAATTTATGGCTGGAGAAGGCGGCTGTTTCATGTCTTTAACACATTCTGGAGAAAAGAGTCTAAATCCTACTAAAATAATGATTTGACTTCTACTGAATGACTTCTACTGGATTGATTTCAGTGACTGGTTTTATGAGAAGTGTGTGAGCAAGAAAAAGGCAGGGATTTTGCGGCGGCAACGATGCTTTAGAGCAGGGGTTGGCAATCGCTGGCTCAGAGCCAAATGGGGTCGACTGCCTGTTTTTGTAAATAAAGTTTTATTGGAACTCAGCCAGGCTCATTCGTTTATGTATTTTCTGTGGCCACTTTTATACAACAGCAGAATGGAGAAGCTGTGACCACATGCGCTGCAAAACCGCAACTATTTGCTGTCTGGCTCTTACAGTACGTTTGCCGACCACTGGTTTGGAGAGTTGATCCAGGCCCGTGTTCCACTCTTCTCTACCCCAGAACCTAACTTCAAAAGGAGAAATATATCCTCACTCTACAGATTAGTAGTGGCCCTTGCTTTCTTTCCTGCTGTAAAATTTGATTAGGAATGATGACTCCTACACACACCCAAAGAAGGAGAAATGTTCACCATGAAATTGACCGTGAACATGGTCAGTTTAAAACTGATCATTTTAGTTCTTTGCTTTACCACCTGAAGATATGAACCCCAAGAACATTCCTGGGCATGTGCAGCATGGCGGGCACTGCCGGAAGTTTGTGCAGTGAGATAGAAGGGCTCACATAGCCCTTACAGCATTCTTTCTTGATAGGTATTTACACATCTGTCTCCTGGCGTGTCCACATGCAAGACTTAACGTCGGGTGCTGTGACTTGGATGCGCATGAATCCGCGACACCCGTCTGGAGCTGCATTCTGTGGGGAAGGCCCAGCTGCATTGTAAAACATGCTTATTAGTCTGTGTGGTTCCTGTTGGTGCGGGACCTCCCTGTTGGTGTGGGACCCCCCTCTCAGTGGAGAAACACTTTTCCTCCTAGAATCGCAACAGTTCTTTGAATTATTTCGCCATCAACCACTGTAGGAAGATTTTGACTTTTCTGCACTGCAATATATGAATAAACATAAAGAAAACTTATGTTCCGAGCAGGTAAAGAGCTGAGACACACGGCAGTAGTTGCCATCAGGAAGGAAATGTCACCTCTCTGGGTAATTAACTTGACATGCCACTTAGAGGCATGTCATTGGGAAAAAATCTTGTTTTCGCAGTCAGGCAGGCCAACCCTGCTCCGACTGTAAACTCAATGGGTTTGTCCTGAAAAGTCAATGTCTCATTTATTGTAAACGAGAAGAGCAGTCTGCCGCCCATTTCCATATTCACAGAGTTGGTACCAGAGCTGTTATGTTCTTGCCTCTATCATAAACAGGATGCAAGAAATGGTGGGCTAAACTCCACAAACACTGTGCTTCCTGCTTATAAACGTCTGATAAACTATTTGGACTTGGCGATATCAGCCAAGCATCGTATGTTATGGCCAGGGTGGATGTTATGTCTAGAAATGGGCCAGATTTGTATTTGAGGTTGTCAGTTAAGAAGGCATGATAGCAGGTACCGCATATGGCCCTCCTTTGGGTGCACACATCCCCATTCCCCCAAACCACTCTCACGATTCCCCTCTGCTCAGCACCCTGGCATCCACTGACACTGAAGTGCCCACACGCTACTGAACTGCCATTCAATGATTCTGGGGAAACGGGAGGACACATTCTTGTCCCCAAGACCCTGCCTGAGTGCAGAAGGGCCACGTGCCCAGCCAAACATTTTCCAGTCTTCGCTGCCCTTGGGCATGCCCTTGTGATAGGGATCTGGCCCACAACACACAGTGTTAGTTTGGTGGCTGGGTCTTCTGAGCAAAGACAAACTGGCTGACAGAGCTTTCGGCATCACCCCCTGCCCAGCACCCTCTCGCTTGGCCTAGAACTTGAGCGCGTGGAGGGAGAGCACAGTCAAATTGTGAGCACGTGGCACGGAGATGGCAGAGCAGGAAAAGAGGAAAGCCTGAGGCCCCAGGGCATCCGGACCCGCTGCCCCGCCAGGACCACGCCCCTCTGTTCTCGCGTCCACACTCCCCGGTGGCTCGGGCTCGACTTGCTGCTGACGGGATTCTTTCCTCGTAGCAACCATCCTCACCACCAACCATCCTCACCATCCCATCCGAGCTGTGTGAAAACAGCTCGGCCGACAAAGCCGGGAACTGCGCTATCTGGTACAGCAGCCACGAGTTACATGTGGCTCTTTAGATTTCAGTTGAATTTAAAGTTAAATGAAAGTGAAAACTCACTTGCCACCCTTCACGTTTTCAATTGTCCCGTGTAGCTGGCAGCTGCCATCTTGGAGAGTGCACATACAGAATGTTCTAGCATCGTGGGAAATTTCACTGGATGGTGTCAGCATAGATAAGTCTCAGAGGTAAAAGCTTAAACAAGGAGGACTGTTCTATTCATAAATATTTGAAACCAAATTTGGTTCCTTACTGTTAATGCTTTCTGAGTTGATTTCTTTCTTCCTTAATAGGAGCAGTGTAGTTAAAAGAGAAAATTACATAAGATAAGAAATTTGCAGGATGACTCTCCTCCTTGCAAGTGCTAAAAACAGCAGCTGGGGTTCTTGCAGAGAAAAAAAATGATCTTCCGAGTACAATGCTCTTTGAATACAGAACTCCTTGCTGTCTCTCCACGGACTGTAAAAATAAACATTACACAACGTTCCCTCTCTCTTGCTTCACCTTTCCCGACTACTCTCCCACAAAGAGAAGTAAAGTTGAGAAGCCGAGGCTGCACGAAGTCGGGGGCGTGTGTTCTTGAAGGCTGTGTGGCCTGAAGCCAGTGCACATCTGGCTGTGTTGAGGTCACAGCACTGGGGACTTAGGCTAACACAAATAAGTTCATCTAAACAAAGAAAAAGAGGAGAAGTCTGCGGTTTTCTTTTATTATTGCTGCTTTTGGTTTTAAAGTTTGCCCCCTCCCCACCCCGCAAATGCCTATCAGAAAGCACAGGACCGGAACGCGGTACCAGGAATTCTGATATGACTGTTGGGACACTTGCCATGGTGACCTTTGCCAAGACGAAATTCGGTGTTTTACTAGAAAGAGCAGGGGTCGTTGGAGTCTGCACAGACCCAGCCAAATCCTAATTCTGGCCCTCCCTGGCTATCTGGCCTCCAGTAAGATGGATGACCGCCATCATCTGCAAACTGGGGATTATAACACTTGACCGCAATCGATGCTGTGAAGATTAAACAAGGTTGCAAATACAAAGAGCTGGTGCAGGGGAGACACCCACTCAGCGTTAGCGGCCATCTTGTCTCTGCCCGGACACTCTGAGAGCAGATGTCTTGCTGACGTGAAATGGGAATGAGCCAGGCTACCTTCCCCAGCTCTCTCTTGGCCAACAGTGCTATTGTTTGTGGTGCCCATGTTCTGAGAGTCAAGGAAATGGTGCAAATGGTTCTGAGTGTGCATCTAACGATCGAGATTCTCTTTTGAAATCTGTCCCCAATTTATGTTGGGCTGTGTTGCTTTGGTGGAGCATCAACAATAAACAAGAGCGCTGGGCCTCCCCGGTGGTGCAGCGGTTGAGCGCTGGGTTGCGAAACTGCCCGCAGCCTCTGCAGCACCGGTTCAATCCCTGGCCGCTGGCGAGGGTCCCACATGGCGGGCAGACCTCTCCTGCTGCCCTCTGCTCCCCTCAGCAGTGTACCTCATCATTCTGCCTGCTCTACTCTCCCCTCTGGCTCTGGTGAATTCTCTCACCCTCTCGCGCTTCTGACTGTACCCAGTGCTTGTATAAATAAATAAATAAATAAATAAATCTTTAAAAAAAAAAAGAAAGAAAGAAAAGAAATCCTCCCAAATGAAAAACAAAACAAAACAAAACAAAACAAAACAAAACAAAAAAAAAAAAAACCAAAAAAACCCCAAGAGTGCTAAGTCAGAAACCCACACCTCTCTCTGGTTTTTAGGGAATTGGTCTGGTGGCATTGAATGCACACAACATTATAGAAAACACAAAAGACAATACCTGTAAGGTAATCCAGGCATTCTAGCAGTTTCTTCTCTCTGGAAAAATCTAAGGCAAAGGTATCAAATGTGTCGTTGAGGTTGATTTCAGGAATTAAGACCTGGGAGGATGCAGTCGCCATGGAGACCCTGTAATTTAAAACAAATTTGTCCAGATGAACTTTATCTTATGAGAAATGTCAAGATGACTTCCACCATCACCACTCAGGAATGAATAAACTAAGAGGAAGAGCAGGGTCGTTAACAAATAGCACTGGTTTTATGGGAGCCTTAAAAAGCACCTCAGAAGGGGGCCACATGACAACACAATGCCAACGGTCAGGGCTGGAGGAAAAGCTACCCTGGTCAGGGCTGGAGGAACAACGGAGCTACCCCGATCCTTTTTACTATCGGAAAAAGTCCCCTTGGAGGCAAAAGAATATTCATATTTCATGGTGCTGTGTATTTAACAGCCCGGCCCCGCCATCTAACCCCAGCGAGAAGCACGTAGCCGCAGGCTTTTCTTCACACATCTGTCTGGGAAACTGTTTGTTCCTTTCTGACTCGACCCTTCTCCACTTCAAAGAGGAGTCTCCAAAATTTCAAACTGCATAAAAGGCAAAGCGAAGATTAAAAAAGAATGTTTCCAGATATTGGATTAGTTTAATCAATTACTAGCCTCTCTCTAAAATAAACATTAAAAAAGGAGTTTTTGCCTGGCTCGTTCCATGCTCCTTGTATTCATTTTCTTGCACCATATTCCCAGCAGATGCCATGGAAAGCGTTCATGAGTTTCCTCACAAATTCCTCCAATGGACACATGGTTTCTCCTCTTCGTGTAGAAGAGGCAGACCAGACTCGAACCATACTGCACTCGGACCTTGAGGATTCTGGTACTGTCAGGTCCGCCAAGGACCTTCTAAGTGTAGGGTTCTGTGTAGGGTGCTGGAAATTTTTGAGTGAAGACACACTTTGAAATGACTTAGCTTTAAATCTAGCTACTATTTTCTTTTTAAAGATTTATTTATTTATTTATTTATTCATTCATTCATTCATTCATTCATACAAGCACTGGGTACAGTCAGAAACGCGGGAGGGTGAGAGAATTCACCAGAGCCAGAGCGGGGAGCAGAGCAGGCAGAAGGACCGAAGCACACTGCTGAGGGGAGCAGCGGGCGGCAGGAGAGGTCTGCGCACCCTGTGGGACCCTCCTCCAGTGGCCGGGGAGCAGCCGGGGATCGAACCAGCCCTGCAGAGGCTGCGGGCAGCTTCGCAACCCAGCGCTCAACCTCTGCACCACCGGGGAGGCCCCTAGCTACTATTTTCTAATTAAGGGCCCTGATGCTCATTTATACAGCTGGCTGTAGCCAGGAGGCGAATTCCAGGTCTGTGCTCTTCTGTTTAATCTAGAAAATTTTCAGTCTGGTTGCCCCAAGAGATTTATCTCCTCTTGCATCTTTTAGTAGTTCTTAAAGCTTTGGAGTTTATAAATATTAGATCTTGGCCATGCAGGCATGTGCTGATTAACGAGGAGGATGTACACTGTGAAATCCGTGGTTCGGCAACCTTGTCACTGTGCAAACACCACAGGATGTCCTTCTGCACACTCACACCCAGGTGTCACTGCCCGCACACCAGCATCTATGATCGCCACCACCCCGTATGCAGTCTGTTGGCTGACGCGTTCTGGCACAGTTGGTGATTGTAAACACGGTAGCCCTGGCACATCCATACGGTGAGCGACATAATTCACCATAAAAGGTGACACCTGCCACCATGCGGCTGGACCCCCAAGGCAGTGTGCTGAGCAGAAGGAGGCAGGCCCACAGGGCCGCGTGTTGTATGAACCATGGGCATGAAATGCCCAGGATAGGCAGATTCGTAGAGACAGAAAGCAGGCTGGGGGAAGGCCCTGGGAAAGTGTGTGAATTATGGGTAGGGGGCCTTCTTCAGGGGCGATGGAACGAGCTCAGAACTTGGTAGAGGTGCTGGTAGTGGCACAACTTTTGTGAAGGTACTAAATGCCACCGACTCAAATACACATTAGACAGCTAATTTATGTCATACAAATTTCACCTCAAGAAAAAAATTCTACCTGCAAAATGCTCAACACCCTCACAGATAACATTTCTATAATTGTCTTTCCGGTGCATTTTCAGTGTCGGACAGGGAGAGAAGCAGGGGGATGACCACCAAGGCAATCCCTGGAATGATCCTGGGACCCACAGGTGAAAGCCTGCAGGGGCGCACACTCTGGAAAGAAAAGTTCAAGTATTTGCATGAGGGCGGAGAATCTAAATGCAGCACCTGACTGGCTCACCAAGAAGCTGTGAAGAGCAGCGGTTGTGATTTTGGTTGTGATTTCTGGGGCTGAATGTCACAGCAGGGGGGCTGGAGCTAACTATTGTCACTAACAATTGCTAGTTTAGACAGGTGGGTAAGGGGTGGCTGCTGGGCAGTTTTCATAAATGGGAAACTGGTATTTAAAACACACTTTGCTTAGAACTGTAAATACAGAAACTACAACATTCAGAGCGCGCGTATGGTTATTCAACAAATGTCTACAAAGCCCTTAAAGTATGCCTGGGGCGCCCCAAATACTGTCATCAATGCAGATAAGAGAAATGCCATAGGGCCCTTTGGATTCCTCAACTGAAAATTTCCAAGTGAAAACCCCAATTCATTCTCCCTTAAGATGGCCCCCCGGGGAGGCACGCGCTCTCGCAAGCAAGCACCTCGCGCTGCACGCCACAGGTCTGGTAGGGAAAACAGGAGCGGAGCTCAACTGTTCTGAAAAGAGGGTCTTGCTCTGACACGTGTCTGTCCAGTAGCAGAAGCCTCCTCACGGGCTCATCCAACAAGGCTCATACCCACGTTTCCCCGGGTACCACGTTCCACAATGAGCTAAAGGCCCCGTTAGCCCAGCGCCACCCTTAGGAGCCGGCGACCTGACGGTGGGGACTTGGTGCAGTGGGAAGGGAAGAAGGAAGGTCCCTCGCCTGGCAGGCAGAGCCTGACAGCCAGAATCTTCGGAGATTACTGCAGCTATTAACACCTACGCATTTTTTTTTGATGGAAAGGAAAGATATTTATCTTTGGCTACAATTTCAAACTCTTAATTGAAGTGACAGGCCAGGGGAGACCTGCCAAATTCAGCATTTTAGGCCAAGTTTTAGTCTCCAAATCCTTGTTGCCCATCTTCAAGCCTGTCAGGTAAGCTGTCCAAATCCACCGGGGCCCTGAGTACTATGCCACTTTCTCAACTTTTTTCAGAGACAGAGAGAGAGAGAGAGAGAGAGAGAGAGAGAGAGAGAGAGAGAGAGAATGTGTACATGTGTGGGCATGCTTGTGCGTGAGTGAGTGTGTGCATGCTAAGCTCTTAGTATATTCAGGCACATAAGGACAATCAATGTGTCCCACTGATGCCTAAGAGGGAGGGTCACACATTACTACCTGTTCCTGCTTCTATTTTGTGTCCCCAGTCTCTATGACACTCAGTCGCTACCCATACATGGCCAGTTTCCAGAAGAAGGACAGGTCTAGAGCCTCACTGCTCACAGGATTTCTGTCAAAGAGTGGAAGAGGCTGGACTGCAGCCTGCCCAGCACCCCCCACCCCGGGCCAACCACCTAACAGGGTTCTCTGGGGCAGGCAGTCACCAAGGCACATCCCCACGGCACACCCCAGGGAGCTTTCACAGTAACAAAATGTGCTTCATGTTGGTCTGCTCGAGATTTGCCAAATGCACTACTACACCCTGGCTCTGGTAAGAGAGAAAGGCGCAGGAATCAACCAAGAAGACTCACAGAGTTGGACAGAGGGGCCACAGAAACAAGGGACAAAGGCTCGTGGCCAATGCTTACAGACACTATGTATTCAAACCTGATGGAATAGGTAGGCAACAAGCAGCAGGCCAACCTACTTTTGCTTATTTAACATCATTTTATAAAGCTACACATACAATCACACCAAAGAACTATATAATTATGAGGCTTAGACTATATAGTGTATTACACGATTCATTTGGAGAAAGAGCTCAGATTTCCATTCTTGATGAGATGGGCCTGTAGCAGGTCGAGCTGAATGGGGCCAGATATGATCTGCTGGGTCCGAGGGAGATCACATGTGGGCACCCACCTGCTTGGGTTATACAGCATATGCGGGACTTCTTCCAGAATTTTCTATTTTAACTTTATGGGCAACACTCTTTCTCCTCTGTAGGTGAGCATTTATTCATGTTATACTTGATGGAATTTTTAGGGATTGCTGAGAAACACAGCACGCAGTAGTCACTTCATCTGGACATCTTGCTCTTTAGAGGAAGTGTTCTTGGATCCCAGCTGGAAATCAGGACCTAAGTGTAGACACTGTCTAGTCAAGAGTGTCCTAGATACACTGACTATTCGTGCTGTTTGCAGTTTTTAACTTTAAATGAATATAAAGCAATTGGCTGGAGTCCAGATGAGAGCAGTGAAGACAATGAAGCACTTGGAGCCTCAGAGTCTTTCCTCAAGAAACTGGCTTCTCTTTGAGCAGGGAGGAGATCGTTTGAAGGATATAAAAGGGATGATAACCAGCTGTTATCCTCATTCTTTGGAAGAGATAAGTATCTAACCAGTCGCAGAAGGAAATTTTCTCAAATCCAAGAAATAGCCCACTGAAGCTGGTCAGATGCTGGACCAGCCTTATGAAAATACTGTACGTTGCTCTCGTTGCAAGGACAGTGGAAACGGAAGCAGCCATCCCACTTCCACGTGACCGTCTGAGAATGAGTACAGTGTCCGACACAAGCCAGCACTCGCTAAATGCTAGTTTTCTTTCTCCTTCCTCGAAGAAATTCAAGTGGTAAGATAGTGTTTGTTTCCCTAGGCTGGGGGTTAGCAAGGTACAGCCGGCAGACCAAGACCAAGTCTGGCCTGTCGCCTGTTTAGGTAAATCGTCTTGTTGGAGCCCAGTCCCGCCCGTTCGTTTCTGTGTTCTCCACGAGAGCCCGCCACAGAGCTGCGACAGCAGCGTTAGGCGATTGTAGCCCCAAACTCATAACCTGCAAAGGTGAAAATATTAAAGTCTCTGGCCCTTCACGGGAAAAGTGTGCAGACCTCTTCTCTAGGATAAAGACCAGCTGGAATGGGCTGATTGGGGTCTTCGGCGATAGGATTCTAGCATTGCTTTGGATGAATGGGCAATTGACGCTGGAAATTCGAAGGAATGAATCCAGACCACTGGCATCCACTGGAGATGTCCATTTAGGCAGTATCGGCTGCCCTGGCTCCACTGGCATTGCCATAGGCACTTGCATCAGGGCAGGGGGATACTTTTCGTGCCCATCAAGTGCATATACTGAGGGGCCACTTGTGCCCGGCAGTGTTACCACCAAGCCGACCGTTCAAAGAACATCATTCTCGTCCTCCCCACCCTAGAATAAGGGGATTTTAAAAGAAGGGGTTCTGAGGTTGACAGTTTGGTCCTCTCTCTCCTGTTTGAGTCAGCCTTGACCTTTCATAGGAGGCGCCGAGCTTCTCAACGGAATAAAAGCAGGCCTCGCAGAGAACAACACCTGGTGATTTTTTAAAAATAGATTAGCCGGTGATGGAAGAAAAGATTCCCTTTTATGTTTTTGTCTTCATTTTGATTCTTTGTTATTAAGTGCAAGATAAGATCAAGTCTGAGAGTCACAATAAATACTGTTTTTGTGCCATCATAAGCTTTTCACCCCCTAAAAACAGATTGATTTTATTCTTTCTAACTGGCGGACTCTTGTTTCAAAGGCCTTGAACTCCAGGCTGCGGCGAAAAGGGCTTTGATGGTCAAAGGGAAGCATCTCTAGCTGGAACAAAGCAACTCAAAGCCTCCATTCACTCTGGTGCTCAGCCTTGAAAACGAAAACAAAAGCCAGGCAAGGGCCAGGCCAACCAATCACACCCCAGACAGACGAGCCCAGGACCGAGAGTTTCCCAGCAGCCCCCACACTCACCTCTCGGTGATATTCTTAGCGGTCTGCAGGAACCGCGCGTGGTCATTCTCCTTCAGAGAGTGTTCCGCTTGGGAGATGAGCGACGCCGACCGCTCAATGCACTGTTTGCAGTTTGCGATCTGCTGAGCCAGTTTGCGAAGCCTCATCACCTTGGACAAAAGAAGCCAAGAGGGTTAACGTGGGTAGGCAGGCTTCACGGAGACGCACCGGCTGCGTCCTCCTGACATGAGCCCTTCGTTAGCATTTTTCAAGGAGAGTTCAAAGAGCAGGTATGGAGAGATACCGAAATATGGAAATCCCAGCTAGGGGACCCTTGTCTTAACTATCCTTTATCTTCTTGGAGGAGCGCTGCTAATTTGTTTTAGAAGGAAATGCTGAATTGTGAATTGCTTCCCTGTTGATGGGAACAAATGGTGTGGCCAGCGGTGAGCTAGAGAGGGTCAGCAGACCTCTTCCCTGGAGGATTCCACACAATTACTGTGAGACTGAAGGGAAACCCGATCTCTATCTCAGGTTCTCAGCCGGGCCGCCAAGAAAATAGGACATCTCTGTAACGCAAGTGTGCAGCTTAAGTGAAACACATTTTCTAAAATGTTCTTTGCAATCCATGTAACAAAATGGGGATGCGAAACCATCAGGCCTTACTGTTTCCCACACTATCTAAAACTCATGTGTTAAATGAACAGAAAGGGAGCATTTATTCCATCGATTAATATTTTTCCTGTTGAGCAGATGAGAGAAAGCCAAAGAAAGCACAGCTGGGCCATTCCCCTCACCGGGAACGCCATTTCCAGGCACTTTGTGCTTACTTGATAACTAAGAACTATTTTGATAAGCGTTTCCCAGTAGGGATAAAAATGCATGTTTGCTTCCAACCTCCATTCCAGTTCCTGATTCTGTCTTGCTTGAAAACGACCCTGAAACGTAATTGACCATAACCTCTGGGGCAGACCCAGATAAGTCCAGGGGAGCCACTTGACCGATGGCTCTGGTGTTTGAAGTGTGCCGTGAGATGCAGCCCTCTGGCCAGAAGCCAAGTTAAAATTAGATCGCTAATTGGACCTGCCGTGTGCCTGGTGCCCCATGCACACAGCCTGCGCCTGGTCTTGGCCCGCTTCACGATCATTCCGGAATGGAAAACAGCCCTGGGCGAAAGGGTAGGGAGGAGGCCAGTTAATCTGTCTTACAGACAAGGCTGGCTGAGGCTCCCTCCAGAATTCCTGCTAACTCTGAGAAATTCCTTCTTTCTCCACGTCATTATCTTCCCTGTGCAACTCTAATCGAAGAAAAGGAAGGAAGGAGATGTCAGAACTTGGGGCCTCTGAGGAACGTCCGATTCCAGCCATGTCAAACTATAGCAAACAAAGGAAAGCAGGGCTGGATGGAGCGGCAGCAGCCACGCGCTTTCAGGCAAGAGGGAGACAAAGTTTTGCAAGTAGAGAGTTACAGGATGAAGTGTCGAAACTTTGGGGCAAACAGTATGTGATCCTGAGCCTGGTAAAAGACTTAACTCGTTATAATGTCAGTGCTCATCACAGCAGGTTAACTGTGTTCGTTAGTTGAATAACGTAACACTTATTTTATATCAAACAGAATTTGGCTTCTAACATCAATATATAAAGAGGCACAGAGCCCAGTTCAAGATATCAGAACCACCATGAGAAATCGGCAGAGGAAGGAAAACTAACTTATGGTCCCCACAGTAAATCAAGAGAACGGAATATTTAATCACACAACATAGAGAATGCTTTAAATTACAGGGCAAAAGTGAAGCTGTCTGACACAATTCTAACCAAAGAAAAAAAGGTCAAGCTATCCCGTTAGAATAATTTCAGTCAATCACTATCCTTTTGGTAAGCCTGATAATGATCACACAGATACTAATGTAACTGGGCCTGAAATTCATTTTCTTCTTTCTCCTCTTCTACCACGATACTGGAAATTCAAAGTGACATAAGAGGAAAAGGAAAAAAAAAGCTCTAAGTCATGCCTCCATTTGAGCAAACCAAAAAAGAGTCTTCTGTGAAAAGATAGGAATAATTGCACAAAGCAATTGTTGGACATGTTTCATTTTAGTTCAGGGTACAATTCCACTGACAAGGGAGATTGGAGGTTTCCAAAGCTGGTGTGCACAAGAGTCAGCCAGGGACCTTATTTAAAGAAAACCTGTAGATGCTTGTGTCCACTCTCCAATATCCTAGGCAAGAAGCTGTCATTGACTGAACTGCAAGAATCTGCATTGTAATAAGCAAGGATGTTTTTTGATCTGCAGGTGACAGGTGAGTCATCTGTATGGTCAGGATGAACTTTAAAGAACTAAATAGGAGAGGAGAAAAGTTGCAGAATGCATTCTTGAAAGAAAGGACAAGTTGGGCTTTGTATTAAAAAATTCGTATACATTTTTTGTTGTGTGTGTGGGGTGTGTGTCTGTGCTGGATTTGATATCATACATATTTCTTACTGTAGGGTACAGTAAAAGAAAAGAAAGAGAAAATACACTTTTCAATTAGGAGTTCACAAACTACGTTCTGTGGGTCACATCTCACACACAACCTGTTTGCGTTAATAAAGTTTTATTGGCACACAGCTACATTGACTTGTTTATGAATCACCTACGGCTGCTTTCTCCCATGTTGGGCAGAGAGGAGCTGTTGCAACAGGCTACACGACAAAGCCTTAGGTACTTACTATCTGGCCCTTTATAGGAAAAGTCTGCCGACTTAAATGACCCTGATAAGATGACCCTCATTTACAACACATCCTGACACCAAACATTTAGCACAATACTAATTTTTTCATTAGGAAACACTGTTTAGATATTATTTTAAAATGCTGATCACTTGAAATGTGACTAGTCCAAATTGCATAAAAAATAATTGATTTCAAAGACCTAGTACCACCCCCCCAATGTTAACTAGCTCTTTAATGTTTACACTAATTAGATTTTGAAATAATAATAGTTTGATATCCTGGGTTAAACAAGAGATTATTTCAATTTTAAAAATAAATACCGCACAACAAAAAAATCTGACAAGATGAATAAAATGTAGTATTTTAAAAGACGCACTAGATACTGACACATAAGATTATCTGCACGTTACTGCTGCAGGGAAATATTTCCATGGACGCTGTTCTCTTTTTCCTTTGGGAAGTGTGATTGCACGTTGTAACCTTTGGAGTTCACTCCACACACATTATAGAAATATTCTGTGTGTTGGGATCTCCTTTGAGTGGGGACATAGGCCTCTGATATCAACTTATTTGCTGTTTATTAAGGTGCCTTACACATAGCTCTTTATTTTTCTTTAAATGCATTTTAAATGCTTCTATATATGTGCTTTTATATAAGTAGGATTCCCATCCCCAAATTGCTGTGTCCAAACAAATGATCAGCCATTAACACAAGTGTCTGAAGTGACAATGAGGCCTGTACCCAGCATGTCTATCAAGCTATGGAAAAACAGGAACATTAAGTCCAAGTTAATTGTCTTAAATTTCAGAGAGTTAGAGAACACAAAAGCAGTGAAGAGAAGGGACCCTTTTCGCTTTGGCTTCGGCCTTCCACCGCGGATCTGTGTCTGAACAGTAAACACGTAATTTGCTTAATCTGGAGTTTGCCGTCAGCTTCTCATGTGTTGACATGAAACTTATCTCCTGCTACTGAAAACAGAAGACAATGCTTTCCTGGGCAGTCTCATGGCTTGAGACTCTTCAGTTGGTTCAAGTATAAAGGCTGCCAAGCTGTTTATTTCAAAGAATGCACAATGGTCTGAGAGCAGGAATTACCAGTATGTACTCATGTGTGCCAACATCGCCTGCTTGGCAACCTCCCCAGATGGAGGATTTGGGTGTTTGTTTCCACCAAGTCTAACGGCCATGTGATTGGCACCAGAGACAGATGGAGACAAAGTCAGGAGGTTGCTGTAATTTACTCTCGCAGTCTCCTTGCTTCTGCCTGTTCTTCCTCCACCCCTCACGTCCAAGTGCAATCAGAAGACCCCACTGTCCCTTCTCTGGATTCAGTATCCTCAGACTGTCACAGCTGCAAGGGATGCAAGTCCCTTACCGGGCCCCAAGTTAACAGCTGCCCTCCCCGGCCAGCTTCTCCGACTTCTACCGTGTTGGCACCCATGCCCTTTGCGTAGAAATTTAGCTGACGGGCCTCCCCGGTGGCGCAGCAGGTAGAACACAGCGCTGTGAAGCTGTCCACAGCCTCTGCAGCATGGGTTCAATTTCCGGTCGGCCAGGGAGATACCCACATGGTGCGGCAGACCTCTCCTGCCTTGCCTGCTGCTCCCCTCAGCAGTGTCTTCGGTCCATCTGCCTGTTCTGCTTCCCCCTCTTTCTGGTGAATTCTCTCACCCTCCCGCGCCTCTGGCCTGTACCCCAGCTCTTGTATAAATAAATAAATCTTTTTAAAAATTTTTTTAAAAAGAAATGTAGCTGACACCATGCCCTGACCAGGAACTCAGTCATTTGGATTTCGGGGCTTGGGATCAACTAGTCCTTGGCCATATGCCAAAGCACGAACTCAAAAGAAGCCGGGCTGGGCCCTCATCTTCCCCAAGTCACCCTTGCTTTCTAATCTTGTCTTCTGAGATAGTGTTATAAGCAAATACACACTCTTTAAAGTGATCAATTTCAAAATACACTTTGAAAGGTAACATGAAGAACTTTCTGTACCCAGCGCCGGCCTTCCAAATCTCAAAATTTCCATCGTGTCACTGCCTGAGTTTCCAAAGGAAGTAAAACATCACGGATGCGTTGAAGCCCTGTGTGTTCCTCCCTAATTTCATCCACGTCCCTCTCCCGAGGAAAACACCCTCTTGAATTCAGGGTCAGTCACTTCTAAGCGAGTTTATGTATACATGTCTAAAGAGCACACAGGGTTTTTAGTAGTTTATCATATTTTATATAACACTTCTCATTCCATACCAATCATTTTAAAACTTGCTTATATTTTTGCGATGAGTTGGTCTGAGTACATATCACCCTAGGTCATTAATTTTCATTTCTAAAGACTGTGTCATTACATAAATATGCAATTTGCTTGTCTTATAAACAATTCTACTGAAATGAAGTGAACAAACCGCACATATTTAAAGTGCAAATTTGGTAAGTTTTCAAGTATGTGGAAACCCATGAAATAGTCACGGCGGTCAAGACAATGAATATACACAGATTATGTCCTCGATGTGCCTCCTGCCCACGCCTCCCTGTCCCTCACCCCTAAGCAACCGCTGATTTATTTTCTGTCACTTCAGACTATTAGCAAGTGTCATTTCTAGAATTCCATATGAACAGATTCATGCAGTATATACTATTTTACGTCTGGCTTTTGTCGATCACCACAATTATATTGAGACTCATCCACGTTGTTGTGCATGTCATTCTTTTTTTTTTTCCCCCATTCTTTTTATTTATTTATTTTTATTTTTTATTTTAAAAGATTTATTTATTTATTTATACAAGCACTGGATACAGTCAGAAGCGCGGGAGGGTGAGAGGATTCACCAGAGCCAGAGGGGAGAGCAGAGCAGGCAGACTGATGAAATACACTGCCGAGGGGAGTAGCGGGTGCGGCAGGAGAGGTCTGTCGCGCCATGTGGGACCCTCGTCTGAGGGCTGGGGATTGAACCGGTGCTGCAGAGGCTGCAGGCAGCTTCGCAGCCCAGCGCTCAACCGCTGCGCCACCAGGGGGGAGGCCCGCACATGTCATTCTTTTTCATTGCAGAGTGAAATATAGTCCACTGCACAGTTATGCCACAAATTGTTTACCTATTTGTCTGCTGATGGAAATTTGGGTCATTTCTGGTTTGGTGTTATTACAAGTAACGCTACTGTGAAAATTCATGTGTGAGTCTTGTAAGGACAGCTGCTTTCATTTCTCTTGGTAGACAAGAGAATGGCTGAATCATGTGGGAAGTGTATGAAGGAAGTGTCAGTTTTCCCAAATGCACTGTTTTCACTCCCATGAGCAAGGTGTGAGAGTCCAGAGCCACCGCGTTCTGGTCCACACTGGTATGGTCCATCTTTGCCCTTGTAGCAATCTAGTAGTAGGTAAGTGACGGTGCCTCATTGAGGTTTTTTAGTATGCATGTCCTTAATGATTAATGTTTTTGAACATGTTTTCATGCACTTATTTGCCATCCAAATGCCTTTTCTTGGTAAAATATCTATTCAAATCTCCAGTTGGGCAAAGGGCTTATTTCCTTATTAATAAGCTTTGAGAATTTATTGTATATTCTAGATACAAGCACTTTAGTAGGTAAATAATTTATAAATATTTCCTCCCCATGTGTGGCTTGTCTTTATAGTCTCTTAAAAGTGCATTTAGAAGAGAAGTTTTTACTACTGATGAGATACATTCTGTACTTACCTGTATCATTTGTAAATATTTCTTTCATATTTTCATCATTGTATGTAAATAACCTTTTCCAACCCAAGGTCACCAGTATTTCCTCCCATCTTTTCTTTTCGAAATTTCATAGTTCTTACCTTTTACATTTAGGTATGTGCGCCATTGGACGGAATTTCATATTCTCGCATCTAGCCACCCTGCCTTAAGTGGGGGCCCAAACTTGGTTTCCAGATTTCCCTTGCAGTTAGTTGGATTTCCTTGTAATTTCCCTGTCTACATTTTTACCTCCCAAATGGCTAATTTGTCATTTTCAAATCTATTTTTTTCTTATTTCATACCCTTCTTTGGTAGTTTTGCTATTTTAAAATAGAAGTCATTCCTTCATTTATCCTCTTGAACATATTTTTCATATTTTCCCATAAAATTAATTTCATCTGGGGTGAGATACTGTGTTCATTGGTTTTGTTGGCTGTGTTTTTAGAAATTCAAGATTTCTTCATGTTTTGGGGTTGTGGTTTGAGTTTCAATTTTATAGGAAAGGAGTCATTCATGATTTCCTTCTCACCTCCTTACTTAGCCTCCCTTAGCTAATGGTTTTACAGTTGCCATCAAATGTCCCTGGGGGTCCTCATTCAGGAATCCTCTATTATCTTTGCATTTCTGAGGCTCCTGCTTTGTAGGGGAATCAGGAATAGTGCAGCACCAGGCTCGAAGCCAGCAACTGATTGGATCCTGGCTCCCCAGCCCGAGTTGACTAAAAGCCATGACCCCTAGGTAGAGAGTGCCCATAACATTTTTCAGTCCCTCTCAATGAGCTGAGAAGCCCTATTCAGCACAGGGCGTTAACCAGTGGGCCTGCCTTCAGCTTCCCACCATCGGGACTGTCCAGTCCCGTCCTGCAATACTTCGAGAGCGAGCTATGCACAGGAGTGGAAGATGTGGCTGCTTTGGTCTCTTCAAGACCAAATCCTAATAGTCTGTGTCTTTAGCTGCAATCACAGCTTTACAACAACATGGGTGGAGCTGGAGGGGCTGATGCTAGGTGAAATAGTCAGAGGAGAAAGACAAGCACTGGTCGGTGTCCCTTGCATATGGAATGCAGAGAAATTCTGCTCCATGCGGGACCCATGGAGATGCTGTTCTTGTTTGGAGTCAGCTGTGTCTCTTTGCTTCTCTATTTCACTAAGTTGTTTATCACCAAATATAGGGTAAATGGTTTTTCAGGCTTTTCTGCCCTCCCACCACTAGGAGTGCCCTGCCTGATGGGGCACCTGCAGTTGGTACATTGTTATAAACTGTCTTGCTTACTTCTGTGGGCCGTGGGAGGAGTATTGAGATAGTCCCCAAGAGAAGCAGAGGCAGGAGAGAGGCAGGAGAGAGAAGGGGCGAAAGAAGCTAGAGACGCCCAGAGTGAAGACTTGCCGGGGGCTTGGAGGCCTGCCTGCCTCCTGGCCCCCTGGCACTCCTGCCTTCCCTGTACCTGGTTGCTGCCCTATATGTAACAGCTCAATAAAAGCCTGAGAAAGCCACTGAGGGCTCCAGGACTCTCCTTCACCTGTCTGCTGGATCATAGATAACCTGCGCTATGGCCATCCTGCCCTTACATCAAAACAAGAACTCCAGGCATCCACTTGGCTAGAACCTGGGGACACCCCTTTGCTGCTTTGCTCAGGTTCCTAAGAGGAACCCTCACCCCGCAAGTCCACGCTAAGCCAGGGTGAAGAAGGCAGGCTAGCCAGGAAGCCGTGGAATGTCACTGCAGGCTGATGAAGGGATCCCAAAGAAGCCCACACCCTAATCCCCGGACTTAATGAGGAAAGAGATTTTACCAGTCTAAGGACCTCCAGATGGGGGAGGGTACCCCGGGTTAGCTGGGTAACCCCGATATAATTAGAAGGGCCTCAGAGGGGAGAGCCGGCAGAGCCCATGTCAGAGAATGAGATCTGAAGCTGGAGGCAGAGGTCAGAGTGAGGTGTTGGAGAAACCATGAGTCGAGCAATGAGGGCAGCCTGGAAAAGCTAGGGAAGGCAAAATGGTATTGTAATACAAACACGGCTATTTAAACTAGAATAAGCAAACACTGGAGAAGAGAAACTCTGGATCTGTCCACCGTGGAGGAGATGCTGTAGTGAAGCGCTAAGTCTTGCCACCGTGAAATAATACCTGTTTCCATTCCCCGGGGGTGGGAGCGCACTGCAGGATTCTATATAAAAGTCTGATTCATGTAAACATTTATGTCATATTGGGTTCATCGCTAGGATATGGCAATAAATATGAAACGAACTCTTCCTCCACGGAACCCACTTTTTCATAAAGAAGAAAAAAGAAAACAGTGGCTGACCGAGGCCAGGGCTCCGTGCTGGCCCTGCAGCTGGGTAAGGGAACAGCCACTGTACAGCAGGTGCGCACGGGCGGCCACAAGCATATGAAGAAAGGGGAGAGAAAAAAATGGCCAACCAACGGTCGGTCTTTAAACCACATCTTAAAGACATAAGAGGAGATTATAGAAAATATAGAAAAGGGTATTCAGTATTTCCTAAGCTACTGACGTGAATGGGAATGTGATGTTTTTCCTAGAGAGCATGAAATCTTCTTACAATCTTACCTTCCCTTCTTTGATCTTGGTTCCAATAATTTGTCTTCTTTGTTGAATGATCTCAATGAGAAGATCACATTCCTCCATCAGTTTGGCTTCTTGACGGGATGCATTGACCTACCGGACAGATAGAAGGGTAAGCATTCATTTGGCCTCTGTGTTCAGATAAATCCTCTCTTTACTGGAGACTAGTATGCCTCAGCAGTTGCTGACAAAGTATTTCAAGGTTAATTCTTCTTCCAGGGATGCAGGGATGGCAAATACAGGACCGGCAGGTCTACTCCTTATCTCGCATCTCTGAAAACCATCATTAGCCAGCGATAGCAGCCTTTTCTGCTAAGCAGACAACGACTCAGAATCACAACATGTATGAAATTCTGACCTATTAGTTGATGATTGACACTAGAAATGAAATGTATTTGTAACTCCTGCTTTTATAATTAGAAGGGAACTGCAATTTTGGCCCAGTAAGCATAAAAAGTAAGTTAAAATAGTAATATTATTTTTTTATGGAGTAGAGGTTGCTATCGATGTCTTCTGGACAAAACTTCTAAAAACAAGACAGAAAGGTTACAGCCTCTCTAACTTTTCTTTTAAACACAGGAGTCAACTTTGTATTGGATCACTATAAAAACACAAAGAAGAAGGGGCCTCCCTGGTGGCACAGGCGCAGCGCTCTGAAGCTGTCTGCAGCCTCAGCAGTGCCGGTTTGATCCCTGCCAGCCTCAGAGCCACCCACATGGCGCGCAGACCTCTCCTGTCTCGCCCACTGCTCCCCTCAGCAGTGTATTGTTTCAGTCTGCCTGTTCTGTTCCCCACTCTATCTGTGGTTCTCTCACCCTCCCGCACATCTGGCCTGTACCCGAGTTCTTGTATAAATAAATCTTTAAAAAAAATCAAAGAAGAAAAAGGATGGTTGAATATTCCAATAATCATATGGCATAATTTAATGAATTAATTACTTAATTTTGATTGTGGTAGAAGTTTAGAACACTGCATAAAGTTTTAGGACTACCACTTAGCACCTCTTTAAACATATGGCACTACACCATGCCCACCCCCAATTTCTAATAACGTTCCACCAACTTCCAGTCAAGCCCATGCAATCTGCTCCTCCTACCTCACTCCCTCCTTTCTTTCTGGTAGCCATCATTTTGTTAAGACATAATTTAAAATTTGCTTTTTGTAGGGCCTCCCCTGGTGGCGCAGCAGTTGAGTGCTGGGTGGCAAAGCTGCCCGCAGCCTCTGCAGTGCCGGTTCGATCCCCGGCCGCCGGTGAGGGTCCCACATGGTGCGCAGACCTCTCCTGCCACCCGCTGCTCCCCTCAGCAGTGTATTTCGTCAGTCTGCCTGTTCTGTTCCCCGCTCTGGCTCTGGTGAATCCTCTCACCCTCCTGTGCTTCTGACTGTACCCAGTGCTTGTATAAATAAATAAATAAATCTTTTTTAAAAAAGTGCCATAATTAGTGAAATGATATTATTAAAAAAATTGCTTCTTGTATACATCTGAAAGATCAAGATTTTACAGTGAAAACACGCCATTCTCCTGGAAAGGTGGATCATTATCAAATGGCTCATTTTTAAGACTCGCTGTATGCAAGGAAGGGTTACAATTAGCTCATTCTTGGCAACTGGGCTTGGGAAATACTCTGCACATGCTATTTCCTCCATCTAATGACGGTTCTGAAGTGCTTATTCACAAACAGAGACCCCGAAATCACAGCTGTGGGACATGGAGGACGCATACATGTGTTTACGATCCTAACGCCGTGCCAGAGAAGCGGCAGTGTTATGGAGGGTGACAACAGCATGGATCACTCTGTCATCTCTCAGGGAGGAGACACGGCCCAGTGAGCAAGCCCTTTTGACGTGGGATGCTGATTTAACTGTAGTAATTTCATTCACTGGGAATAATATAAACTGGAAGTAGGGTCAGGAGTTCAGGAGGAGAATCCAGTGATGGCTGTTCAGAGAGATCATGTCCTATTTTCAGAGGCCAGGATTCCTTGAGTTTTACTCCTGATCCTTACAAGACGCAGCAGAGGACCACTCAAGACATCTGCATGAGAAGATGATGGCCGCTGGCCATTTGCACCAAATCACTAGGTCACGTCCTATGTCGGATTAGCACACACACACACATCTGCCAAGTGTTTAATGAACAAAGAAAAATTTAACAACGCATCGATGGGCAGGTAGAGAATGTGGACCTCAGCCTGATATTTAAGGAAGTTTGTCCCTGAGCTCAATTTTTCTTACCATTACTCTCACATCACCAGTTCTAGTTTCCCTGATAAATTTGGCTCTCTATGGAAATATTTACTTGGATATTACTCCACTACTCTTAGTCAATTTCTTGTCTTTCCTTTTGACCTCAAACTGTATTTAATCATTGACTAACAGAGCTGTTAAAAGACTGGGTTCCTATTGAAAAACACAGACATATTCTGATGGAGAAAATGGAAGTTCCGGAAAGTAGCACTCGACTCGAAAAGTAACTCCCAGAACCCTAAGCACGAAGTTGCAGGTGGGAATGCAATCAAGGTACATTAACAGCATGCAAGCCCCATGAGGCGGGCATCTCTGCCTGCTGTATTAAAGGAGGGCCTCTCGCAGGCCCCGGCATTCAGAAACTATTTGTTGAATGAGTAGACAGTGAAAACGACCTTCCAGGAAGAGACGAAAGTAATGGCGTCAGTAGCTGTCAGGATAAACTGGAAGCACTCAATCTACAGATATTATTGGGCTTACTGGTTTTCTAGGACTCTGTAGACACAAAATTATGTCCTAAGGATTATTTTTTAGGGGAGGAGGACACTGAATTTTATAGCCTTATTGAAATATATTTCACACATCATAAAATTCACCCTTGCAAAGCGTACAGTCTGTGGGTTTAGTGTCATCAGAATTGTGCCATCGCGTCACAATCTAATTTTAGAACATTTTCCACATCCCCCAAAGAAGTCCCACACCTATCTGCGGTTACTCCACATTCTCACTTCCCACCCCCCTTCAGGCTTTGGGAACCACTAATCTCCACTCTGTCTCTTTATGGCTTTGCCTTTTCTGGATACTTCATAAAAAGGGAATCAACCAGTATGGGAGCCTTTTGTCTGGCTAATTTCACTTAGCATAATGTTTTCAAGATTCCTCCATGTGTCAGATAATATTTTTTTTATGCCAGATAATACTCCATTTTAGAACTATACCAAACTGTTTTTTTAGTAGATGGACAATGGGGTTGCGTCTAGTTTTTGTTACTACAAATAAGTCTGCTATGAATGTTCGTGTATAAATATTTTGTGTACATATGCATTCATTCTTCTTGAGGACAGGCGTGGGATTGCTGGCTCACATGTAAATTCTATGTTTAACTTTTTGCGGAGCTACCAAACTTTTTCCCAAAGCGTTTGCATCAGTTTATATTCCAGTGAGTAGTCTATGAGGCTTCCAATTTCTCCACGTCCTGTTAACACGTGGTATCATCTGTCCTTTTTGTTTTATTCATCACAGTGGTGTGGAATGGGAGCTCATGGTGGGTTTTTAAAAAGTTTTTCTTGAAGGAGCATTGGTTTATAACATTATACAAGTTTCAGGTGGGGGTTGAAAAGGTGAAAGAGATAAAGGGATTGGGTCATGGAGGCTTTGATTTCCACTTCTTTGATGGCCAATGTTGTTGAACATCTTTCATTCACTTATTGGTCATTTGCATTTCTAATTTGGAGCTATGACTACTCAGATCCTTTGCTCATTTGTCTTCTAACATATGGTTTCTTTATATATTCTGAATACAAATCCCCTGTCAGATATGTGATCTGCAAATAGTCCCTCCCATTCTGTGGGTTGTCTTTTCATTTTCTCAATGGTGCCCTTTAAATCATGAAAGTTTTTAACTTTAATAAAGTCCAATTTATGTAATTTTCTACTGTCACTTGTGCTTTTGGTGTCTTAGCTGAGAAACTGAATCAAAATCATAACGATTTATGCCTCTGTTCTCCTTTAAAAGTTTCATTTCTTACATTTAGGTCTGTGAGCCATTTTGAGTTAGCTTTATGTGTGTGTGAGCAGGGGTCCAATTTCATTTCTTGCTCATGGCTATCTGCTTGTCTGCGCGCCATATTGAAAAGACTAGTCTTTCCCCCACTGAAGTATCGTAGCACTTTTGTCAAGCCAGTGAACGCATTGTGTAGTCCTCAGGCTCTGATGCTGTCACTAACCTGTTCTTGCTTAAAGTTATTCTGGCTTTTAAATCTGATGAGACGCACTAGCGATTCTAGAGCAGGTGCTATGAAGCGTGGTGGGAGAACCAGCTCTACCCACACATGATACCAGGGAAGCCAAGGAAGAGCTCCATTTGAAGTTTTCCTATTTTGTAAAATGAAGTGAATAATATCTGCTTTTTCAACCACATGGGATTATTTTGAGAAATATATAAAATAATAAACGAGGACATAACTAAAATCATGAAGCCACTGATAAATCTGTGCGAGGATTATTAGCCCTGAGAAGTAGTTTTATTAGTAGACTATGATTTAGTTTGGGATCCATTTCACTCTCACAATCGTTGGCATTTGGGTGACTCTAGGGGAGGCGTGACCTAGGTGTCATCGTGACATGGAGTCTGCTTTGATCCAAATTCTGACTATTCAATATTTACGACTGACAGGTTTCTTTCACCAAGAAAATGTGGACTGAAATCTACTTTGTTGAGCCAAATATGTTTTGAGAAAGTTGATACCACAACCACCACTGCCTCAAAATATAAATTCCCAGAAATTTGGGAACATGATCTGTTCATTTTAGGCCAAGTATTTTCCTTAGATCTTTCACAGAATATGGAGTTGACTTTCCTTTGAAACCAGAAAAGTTGAATCTCTTTTTATACTTTGATGAAGCTTCCAAATTTTTGTAACTCTAGTATTCTTATATTCCAAAAGGTACAATAAAATAAGTTGAGTGCTATCCTATATTTCTAAAACTCTTCCACTACAAAGAAGTTTTCCACAGTTTTGCTGTTTCATATGTCAAATAAAAAAAAAAGTTAATGATTTGATTGGACTCTGTTTCTCATGAGCTATTAATTCAAACACAGCAGGTATGTGTACCGGTATGGGTAG